GGGGGGTGCGTTCCAAACAGGGAGCTCATGCAATTATTAATTTATGTTTTTCTCGAATCCGAGCAACGTCAAAGATAGTACAAGATAGTACTATCTTAGGCAACGTCTCATTCTCATTCATTCATTTACCAGCGACAGGGGAGAAAACCAAATAAATGAGATTTTGGGCAACACTCGAGAAGAGACTTTGTTGTGCTCAAAACTTCATTTTTGTTCTTGTGCCTCGGTCAGAGAGCTAATGTATTTTTCTAGTTGACTTAATTTTTTTCAACTCAATATACAGGTTAGGCTACTTTTAGAGAGAGAGAAGGGGGGGGGGGGGGGGTTGGGAAAGAGAGAGAGACCTAACGTTTCCCTCACACTCACACATGTCGGTATATTTTTCTTAAAATGGCAATATTTCTTTAAAATTATACAACCTTCAGTTACCACTCATTCATTTATGATATTACGGTGCTTTCAATCAAAAAGAGAAGGAAAAGTTCTTTAACTCTTCCGTGTTTTGCTTCGATACGTCGATCAGTGCTTTTCTTTACACTTAGTCTTAGCAGAGGTCTTAGTCTTATTTTACTTTTTACTTTTATCCGCCGCTTTTAGTTTATACCCTTTTGGGTGTCGTGAGAAGAAAGAGACGTCTCTCTGTCGCCAGCCAGAGAGCTTGGGTCAGGGGGATGCCGTGGGTGGTTAATGTTTCCCTGACTCCATCTATTATATTCTTCTATCCAGATCTTTCTCGGTCGCCCTCTACCCTTGTAGCCATCGAGTTTTTGGATGTAGGCACGTTGTGTTGGTAATCGTGGGAGGTTGTCTCGCCTGGTCTTGTTTACTGCTTTTCTAAGGCATCGCATTTCACATGTTGTTCTTGTCTTTGAGGCCACAGATGTTAAGAGTACAAATCCTTTCTCGTTATCCTTTAATGTTTCCTAGTCGTTTTCCGTCTGTATCAGTCCGTTTCTTTCTTTCTTTCTTTTTTTTTTTTTTTAACAATTCGCTGCTGACTTGCTAGGCCTGTCACAGTTTTATCAGAGCCCCGTTAGCCTGCAACTTTTCGGGGTGACTCGGATTCTCTTTCACGGCTAACGTGACGCCTCAGTGGCATAATGCCACACCGTCCCGTACTTCGTTGAACCCAGCAATCCCCTACTTTGTCCAGTTTCCACCTCCCGGGACGTGGACCTGGGGTTGGGCTTTGGGAGGCTAGTCTTCTTAGTCATCATAATATACAGTGGAACACGGATTCGACGAGGTCGCCAGGCCTGACCTAAATTCGCGTTGAATCCGAGTGTTCGTTATAGCAAACATGAAGCTTTGTGTTGACAATTACAGGCACTGAGCTAGTAATGTGTAAAGAAAAGAAACAAGTAGACGCTAGCGCCTGAAAAGCCTGTATATTATGAGCTGTGTAAAAAAACAAAAAACCGATTCGTTCATCTCGATTGTTTGCCAAAAAGTTTTGTTGCTGTGTAGAGCCTAGCATATTACATATGGCAACTTTTGATTCCATAGACCAGCGCACAATTCATTACGCAGATCTACGTCAAGACTAGCTTATCATTGTAATAATGATCAGTTGCCGAGGAGAAAAAAGACTGTGACGCGTTTTATGCGATGGTGCCCCCCCCTCCCCGACACGCACACACAGCCACACGTTACAACTAACTGACCTGCATGAGTAGCTTCGTCAGCCTGGACAGAAAGAAAGTTGGTAGAGCATACTATGTCTTTATTCAGTTCTTAGTGGTAGATTCTGAAAATACAGCCCAGCAGTTCGTTTTGCTTGTATTATTTTGGAAGTATATTTAAAGCAACAGTAGAGCTTTGCAGATGATCAAACAGTCTCCCGCCAGTGCAGTAAAAGATAGGCCTACCTCTGTTCCCCGACAAATCGCCTTTTTCATAACCACGGAATGTGAGTTCCACTGAACAAAATACACTCGACAACCCTACACAATACGTGCCTGTTCTTTCTCACCCGTTCGTTTTTGTGAGACTTTGCACTAAAATGACCAACGTCTAGCTGCGCCGTAATGTCTACTACTGACTACTCCGAAATTGTGATGCTTTACAGCATTGTTGACGTGCGCTCTTGATAATTTTGCATCTTTAATGGTTCGTTTCACTTGGACAAGATCAGTAAAACCTATTATCTGTATTAAAAACACTATTATTGCACCTTATTGTTGGTTATATTATTTAGTATCGTTCGATAGGCGAGGACCTAATTCTTTCAATCTCCCCTTGTCACTTTGGTTTAGAGAATTGAATTTATTTGCAAGCAAAAAATCAACTTCATTAATCATGCATTTTATTTACAAACTCAAGTAATAAAACTTTCAGTGCCATGCCTACACCATTCCAAGATAAGGCTCTTCTAACACAGTGACCTATACATCATGTTGACCTCGCTTATGTTCAGGTTTGCAGAGGTGGAGCTTGAGCAAGGACCTTACACACACACACACACACACACACACACACACACAAACACACACACACACACACACACACACACACATACATACACATACACATTCACACACATGTACACACAGACACACACAAACACACACTCGTACAAAGTAAGTGTACCGTCTCGGTATTTACTGTCTCTGGTTATACGGGGTGCCTATATTACCGCGGGTCAGGCCGATCGCCCGACTCGGTCGCCTGAAAACAAACATTATGAGCTAATGTTTCTTGGTTAGTTCCTGAAGCCTGCAAGTTTCACAATCACTACTCGGTCTACAGAAAAAAAATGTAATTTACCAAAAACTACCTCACTTAGTGACTTACAATGTTTGATTCTCCAGTCAACCGTACCCCTCACATTCTGTATTGTTTAAGGTCACATGATAAACGCCAGAGGACATTGCAACTGCACTTGTGACCTAAACACACATCTCACAAAGAGGAGGGGTAAAAAAAACCAAAAAACAAAAGTAAGCATAAGTACATTATAATTTATTTATTATTCTACATAACAAGAACCGAGAAGCAAATCCATCAAAGACAAAAAAATTCCAACTGTCTTTAACTTTAAGGGATAGGAGGGGAGGGCTCAGTGGCTCAACAGGTATGACGTTTGCTTATCAACCCAGAGGTCCGGAGTTCAATTCCTGCCAGAGTGGGTTTTTTTTCTCATACTTTCTACACCCCCTGATCCAAGGGTAAGTAGGATGGATAAAGACAAAAACCTTTTTAGGTCTTGTGTGAAAGTTTTACATATTTAAAAACCCTTGTTTAAAAAACTGAAACAAGTAAAGTAGGCTGACACCTGGGCAAAATTCAAAATTAATTTCTACCCAAAAACTGAAGCCACTCTGGTCGGTATAGATTAATATTGAAGGTGTACCTTTGAAAACAGCACCTGTCTGTCTGTCAGTGTCAGGCAAGGGATGTTGACAAAACTGCCATAAACGTAAAATTAACTGCACTGTGAGATGAAGATTTTACAGTCGGTTACTCCTGAGCTCTCACAGGGATATGAAAAGAAAAATACAATCTTCTTTGATACATGGCATAGACAGGCATACTGAACTATGAACAGTGCACACTAACAAAACACAAGCAGCCACTGATGCTCAACCTAACACTGAGAGGCAGCAAACATCAATCAAGCATACCAGTCACAACGCAGTTATGAAACAAATTACTGCTTAGTTTGTTATAAACTTACAATAAAAATGTATAAGAGTATTAACATGTTTACTTTCCAGCTAGCTGAATTCTGTGTTAGTCTTCAGTCCCACTCAACATGCACAAACCCGAAGGAATAAGATGGAGTTTTATTACATACATGTATACATTACAGTGAAACTCGGATTCAACAAACTTGAACTCAACGAAAACTCGGATTCAACGAAGGGAGAAGGATTCCCCATTTTGGGATGAGGAGGGAAAGGGGCATAGGCTCGAGCGTTCAGGACGTGGAACATCGGCAGAGATACAGTTCAGGCGCTTCACAGTTATATCTCCCCCACCACCCTACACCCGACTACTGAACATCAATAAAAAGCTAGTGTAGACATTGATCTAGATGTGTGTAATGAATTGCGTGCCCGTCAAAAAAACAAAAATTGCCATCTTGTAGGCCCTTCACTGCAAAGTAAATTGTTGCTCACATTGCTTCGACGAACACTAGGATTCAACCAAATTAAAGGTCAGGCCTAAGGACGTCATTATATCCGAGTTCCACTGTACTAATGACTAATGTTAATATGATAAAAAGCAACAAGAGGTTGTTTAATCATAGTCATGTATGACTGTAAAAATACAATGCTGTTAGACAATTTATCATCATCAAGAAATAGTTAATTATATAGGATGGCATCTATACCTTGACATAAACATTCAATACTAAAAAACCACATGCATCATCAGGAATTAAAATGGAATCTTTGAAAAGACAAGAGACAGAGCTGTCCCTGACTGGAAACAACGATTAAGTGAAAGAGGTAAGGGGAAACCACAGCTATTTAAAAGAAATGAAAAAAAAAACCCAACATGTATACACATTCATAGAAAAGAAATAAAGAAAAAGAAGAGGAAACCCAAGAGAAATAACAAGCGTAACAACAATGGTTGTAAAAGCAGCTTCCAGAGCAATCTCTGAAAACTAATAACGACAGTAGGCCAGCACTGTCTGTGGTTTAAAAGTGTTTTTTTCTTTCTCCTTAACCTTTTACAAACACATTAAAAAATTACTGAAATACCTCGCAAATTACAAAGGGTACATACAATTTTCATATATATGCTTTGATCCTGTTCAGGGAATGAAAAAATGGGAAAAAAGTCTCCTAGTTCAGAACATTGCTCCACAAAACACAATCTACGGTAAAACCTTGGTAATATAAATTTCTCAGGACCATAGAAGTTACAATGCATATAATTAAGAGGGGGGGGGGGACCCTGGGATTTTAAATCCTTTCGTGGTAACAGGAATTTCTTGCTAAACAAAGTCTACTATTCAAAAGAATTTCCCAACTATGACTATGATTAAGACAAAAAAAACCCACAGACAAAGAAAGAAAACTGTGGAATATTAAGGACAAACTTTCTATTCTTCGGACCAAAATTTAAGCTATAGGCAAAAAAAAATGCAACACATCTGGTCATACTTTTTATCTTGCAGGCAAAAGACAGGTTCAATTCCTGTTAGTAGTTACTCAGTGTGAGGGGACAATTTTTATTGAGTATCATTACTGATACAATATACACAAAAAGCAAACAAAATGTATGTACAGAAAAACAAAGACTAGATGTGTCGGTTAAAAAAAATCCGAAAACAAAAATGGATTTTTATAAAGTATCACATAAGTCACAATAAGCATGTAAAAATCAACCAAAAATAAATATACGGCACACAGCGCGAGCTTCAGACATCACCACCAAGTATTGCCCAAATTTTCAGGCAGCCAATTTTTCATCATCTTCATCCGGTGCCTGGCCGACTGGCGTGGGCGATCATGGACCTCCACTTCCATTTGTCTTGCGTTGCCGCAATGGTGTCTGTTGTTCTTGCTGCTCCCAGCCATGTTGACAACCTGTCCAGTATTTTTTCCCTCTGTCAGCCTCTGCCTCTCTCTCCATCAAACTTGCCTGTTGTTACAATATTCTCCAATGCTTCTTTTCGCATTGTGAGTCCAATGAAATTTGCCTGTCGCTTTCGTATATTCATCACATAGGCTGTTGTCTGCAATTTGCTTCAACATAGACTTCTTCATTTGTTTTTCTAGCAGTCCATGGGATACGCAGCATGCGTCTTATGAACTACAACTCTGTTGCCTCAATTGTTCTTTCCATCTGTCTATGTTTCATAGAGTGCAATAAAACGACTATGCACTATCTCAGTATGAAACCTACAAAATCTATTCTTTCTCTTTAAGGTTAAAGTTAAAGGAAGAGAAGACTGACGACATCCCCTCTCACATGACGTGATCATTGCAAAGGCAAGATATTTCTTGAGTATCAGGCAGAAGCCAGAGCTAGCCGGCTATATTGTGCAAAATTCGTGAGCCCATGACTTCCTTCTGATGAAATAGGCACAACAGTCAAACCCTTAATGCCAGGATCTTCAGTATAGAAAAAAAATAATTCGGTGTGCACCAAAATCCAATGACCTTTGATTAACTTGAACAATGACAGAAAGATTTGTAGACTATGATGAAATTTTAGTAGCCTCTAACCAAAGTGGCCAGAAGGGAAACTAAAAAAACTATTCTATTGCTTAATCAATAATCTATGGCTTTTTTTGGTGTGTGTTCTTTCAACTTAAATTTAAAAGCAAAGTGCATCATGATCATTCTTTTAAAAACTGCCATACATTTATATTATATTCATCAAGTTCCTTCTTACATTTCATTATCAATACATGCACGAGTATAATGTCACCGCACACACCGAAAAATTATGAGACAGGGAGGTCTCTGAATTCAATGTCTATCCCCACATTGACCAATGTAAGTAGGCAGGGAGCCTTGAAAACTTCCCAAATCTGCCTGAGCTATCACAACACACTTCCTTCTCATACAAAAAAATTGTATTGGTGCAAATCCAGCTTGAACAGGTTTGAGAACTGGCATGACCTTGGCTCAACCAGCATGATGTTGAACCTGGACTGCTGAGTCAGCTACCATTATTCAAATGCCCCGCAAGATCCTTGAGCATGAGTTGTTCCAACAGTTTTCATGAATCTCCATTCACTTAACTGGGATGGTGACAGGCCGAAGTAGACTAAAGTGATGCGCTACATCAATAGATGACATAGGAAGTGAACATCCAACAGCTCTGCAGGTAGAGTTCATACAAGAACACCATAAAGCTCAGCTCTACTTCCTGTCTACCTTTGAATTTAGCCCTTTCAAAAGTTTTGTTGCTGGATTTGTGACACAACAGAAGATTCCTCTAAACTAGTGAGGTAACTGTAGTCACAAATGAGTTGATATGGTTTTGTCAGAGATGGTCAGTTAATTGGAGTGCTGCCTCCCCCCCCCAATCAAGTCTTTGAACACAATATTGTAACATTGCAAACATTTTCTTGACCTTCATAGAAGACATCTTCTCAGCCTGTCCACTTGACAGACGGTCAAATACCCTAACTTAGAAAAATACTCCACTTAAACTCAGCGTCTCGTCGGACATTCATATAAAACAAACAACAGAAATTGTAGATTAATGTAAAGGATGAAAGAACAGGTATGAAGGAATGAGAAAAGATTAATTTGTTCGCTCGTAGGCATGATTAGCTGCAGTGTGGAGCCCTGTACTAATGACACCCACAGGTTTATCCTCTTCCATTTGTTCTGATCATCTCTGACCCCGCTGACTTCATGGATTTTCATGTTGTTGGGTTTTCCTATCGCTGGATATGGTGATGCTGCCAAAACCAGAAGCTGGTAGTCTTGCCTCTTTCTTATTTTTGCTTCAGTATTGCCATGAAAGACAGTCTTCATATGGTTAGTCTATTGGTTAGGTAGTGCATGCCTCCCATATATCACAATTACACTATGACTAATACTACCAGATTAAATCTTTGGAATTTTTGTTGTTAGTGGATTACAAGCCACACTGGGACTCTACTATTGACAACAGTACATTTGTGTCCATATATTTGACATTTCAACATCTCTCTTGCAATTTCTGTTTCCATGGTCACTACAACCAAAAGAATACTTGCAACAGTTCATCTGTTTCTCTCATACCTAAGCATCTTTTACAAATCAAAAATGGTCAAGGACGTACCATCAACAACAACAACAAAAAAGAATTAAAAATTCAATGATTAATTGTATCACATAAGACATGAAGGCAACAATATCAATATCATACAGAAAAAAACAACAACCTACAACAACAATAAACCTTCACAGAAAAGACCCCAGGCCCAGAATCTAGTAATTGTCTAATCTTATGGCATTCCAATTGCACATTTAGCACCAAAATAAAGTTATGGTACACCAACAGGCCACAATAAATTAAATATCAAGCAATGTACAACATTGGGGCCTCTCACAAAGACCTAAAAACTGTTTGATTAGAAGAACCACATCTGTCTGCACTCATGACTTGTGAGACTTGGTGAAAAATCCTTTTTTGGCTGGTTTTTCCTGGCCTGCCTGAAATGAAAATTTTTAGAAAATAAAATAAAATTCTGGATCAATGTGCTGATTCTGGTGAAAGCCCTGGCTGTACACATTGACCATCAAAATTAAACCCAAACTGTTTTCAATCTTGAAGCATGAAAGAGTGAGAAGATTTTAATAAAAATAATCACTAATATGGACCCGACAAATATGAAGAAATAAACTAAATTAAATAAAACTTAATTTAATCCTTATATTTCTTCTGTTCTTGTTCTGCCTCTGGTCCCTCGTGATGCACAGGCTGCAAATAAATTCTCTTCCGCCTATCGACAACTTCAACCTGATTTGTGGAAGTTGTAGAAATATTTTACATTCCCATTTACACAATGTAGGAGGACAGTTGCTTTGGCTTTGCTGTCAGAGGTCAACCCAGGATGAAAGGGAAACAGCATCTCAGGAGACAGACAGAGACACGTGATAAAAAAACAACTTCCCCAGATGGGATTTCGAAATCACTTCATCGGAGAGAAACTGTGAAGAGCTAAACCACTACATGACACATGCCGATACTTTAAAAAACTGATAAGACATAGACAAACATTGAAGATTCACTTGCATCCTTAGTGTAAAACCTGTTGTACAGTTTCAGTCTCCCAAACATGGCAGAGAGAGTAGTAGTAGGTACCAGAAACTAAATTTTCAAAGTAGCTGTATGCAAGGCATATATCTCCTGAGAATTTTGGTACCATTCTTTAACCTCTCAGTCAATTTTTATAGTCACTCACAGGCTGCAACCCCATGTTTGACAGATAATAAAAGAGTACCAAGTAAAATGTAAAAGGTCAACCTACCAGTAACTTTGCTCCCAGAAGCATTTTGGCTTTGTCCTCCTCCTCCTGTACATCTGTATGTGGGGCCTCCTCCAACACACGAGCTTTCCAGTGAAGTTTTTGTTTGATCGCCTGAGAGGAAAAAAAACCCCCCAAGATAAGAAAAACAATAAATCAACAACCCCCCACCCTTCCCCCTAAAAAATGATTTTTAAAATAAAAATTTTAAAAATTTTAAGAAATAAAAAAGAAAAAGTAAGAGTTTAAGTTGAGATTTGTAAAGTTAGACCACTGAAATGAGTAAGCACAGGGGGCCCTCGACTGCAATAATAGTCTAGCATACCGTGACTGGTCAACACAGCATTGACCACTTGTGAATACAACTTTCATCATTATCAGCCTTTCTCAACCCATGCCAGAGTAGTACACCGACAAGAATTCTCCATGTATTTCTGTCTGGGGCTCAAATCTCCACCTTTGTCCAGCTGTATCCCATCTCATTTAAATACAACTTTAGCGAGATCTAAATCATGGGTTGAGACCCTTTCTTGTGGCTGCTGTCTGGGGAGAGTAATGTCCAAGGTGTGTGCACATTCCTAAACTGCTGCAAGATTATCCTTATCACAAGCATGTCCTGTCACTGAAGTTAGCACAGCTAAACACCTGGTGCCAATGTAATGTCGGATAGAAATAGTCAATATTGCTGGTTTTATTCGAATATCCAAACTAATATTTAATTATAATGTAGCATGGAAATCAGTTGTGACAGCTACCTGTGAGAGAAGCACCCGCTTGCTGTGGTTTTTGAGGGTGATGAGCAAGTCGAACCAGGTCCAGATACGGTTGTGGAACTCCACCGTGGGCAGCAGGAAGCTGAAGTCATGCACGTCCTCGATGTTCTTCTCCTTCTGACCCTGATTAGGAACAAACAAAGGAAAAACATCTTTCTGTTAGTCGAGGTGGATGGATTTACTGGAGGCAGAAAAACCTTTATGATGATGTCAAGTTTAAAAAAAGAATTTAATTGTAAAAGTTTCATATCCTCATTGACACAACTTACAATCATTTATGAGGCAAGTTTTGACGAGGCCAACATGATCTGAGAGGAGCAGACAGACATAGATACTTGAAAAAAACTCTTCCCGCTCGGGAATCAAACTCAATCTTCTGTGTATGATGGCGGAGCACCTAACCTCTACACCACAGACATCAGTGATCTCAAGTCATTGTGATAATCAACTCTTTCCATGCCAGAGCAGAGGTGCTTCCATGGTTAAGCCAGATCATTATCAACACCATTGCCTTTCTCACCCTGGATCAGGATATAGGCCACGTACAAACACTTTCCACTTTTCCTGATCCAGGGATAGCCTCTCGATGTTATTCCATGTCTTTCCACTTTTCTGTACATCAATTTCTGTGACTCTTCTCCTGGTTCCACATGGTCCTCCCCTTGACCTTTGACCCCGTGGATTCCAACTCTTTCCAAGCCAGACATGCTTCCATGGCTAAGCCAGATCAGTGTGTTGTAAATGTGACTGGTCGAACACAGTGTTGGGAGAAGCCAAATGAGATTTGCATTATCAAAAAAGAAGACGCGTTATGTATCAAAGTGGAGACAAAAGAATCAAGTCCAAGAAGGTGATCATGTTCATTAAAAAAAAAACCACACATAAAAAGTGGTCTACTTTGAGGGGAGACAGTACCATACAGTCGATAGATCAAGGCTTGGTTAGGAAAGAGTAAAAAGGCATAGTGTATAAAAAGAGTAAACTGGCATAGTAATAGAATATTACAAAGCAAAGTGATTCCATCACATTCTTGAAGGTCCCTGCCCTTTCCTGAGGCAAATCCTCTTTGCTACATAAATGTCTAGTATCACTTTTAACTCACCTTGTAGCTAACTCTTGCTATCACCTCAGGAATTTTTATGTACAGAAAAGTGTTGTTCTTCGCTGCTCGCTCCTGTGCAGGGGAGAAACGAAAAGAAAATAGATTATTATTTGAATGATGGGAACGAAAAACAGAAAGAGGGGGACAGAGGAAGGGGAGCAGGAAGAGGGGGGAAAAAAGCAAGACGAAGAATAACTTCAGTTTCCCATATACACAAGATAATTCAAGAGCCTGTAACAAGGTAAAGGAGCTTAACACCTTCATGATAGCTCCCGTATATCGTATGTCCAACATTGTGTGCCAAGATGCCGCTCTCCTGTACAATGTATATTCTAAAATCAGCTGATTACTGTAATCGCACGGACCTTACTACGTAAACTGTACAGGATTTTATAACTGCACTACAATAGCTTTGAACGTCCTGGCAAGCAAAAATTGGGTGCAGTAAAAGTTGGAAAAACCATACGTCATGAAGGGATTAAAAGTAAAAAGAATAACTTCCGTTTCTCACCTACACAAGATAATTCAACAGCCTGTAACAAGGCAAAGGAGCTTAACTCTTTTGAGCCTGAGCTATTTTTCACCCAACAACCATTGCAGCCTGACACTTTAGGGGTATATGGAAGCGTTAACCACAAAAAGACTGTGAAAGCTATCATAATGAAGGAAATGCAACAAGAGAAATAAAAAATGCTCTCGCGGAAAAAGAAAACTGCATCAAATTTGTTTGAATAGTTTATATTTTATCAATATTTTGAAACGGCAATGTCTGGAGGTAACGCAATTTTTTTTTTGCACCTAATTTATAACAAAATCATCTATCGCAAGCAGGGGTGACTGACTTAGTCCTTCACAGCTAAAAAAGTATTACACACAACATCACCAAATTTTTACCGAAACGAAACAAGTGGGTCAACTGTTGGCTCGCCGTTTCCCATAGCTTGTATTAAAAAAACACCAGAGATATTGATAGATAAAGCACATCCCATAAATACACAGGATTAGGCCACCGGGCCAGCATGGTATCCTGTAAAAATACACGAGAATAGGCTCAAGTGAGTTAAAAGAGTAAAGGTCTTCTCTTTGGGTCACCAGTACATACCCTCATTTTGTTGATGTCATCAGCACTGCTGAAGGACGCTCCGGCCGATCTCAGAGATGACCTCTCCACATCCTCTGCCTTGTCCCTCCTTTTGTCTTTCTCTTTTTTGCTATTTTTCTTCTCCTTCTTTTGCTTCACATCCATCTCATCCTCTGCAACAACAGAATAGCACAAGAAGAATAGGGCGTTTAAAATCAAGTTCCCATTCAAATAAAATGTAAATTCTTACTTTTCAAACAAACCATTCCCATTTCATCAACATTATGAAATGTATGCATTTCTTTTAAGTTAATGTGCTCAGAACATGTGACTTGCTAGCTATGCCAGGTTTCTTCTCTGAATAACTTTTGTTAAACATCATTTTACATCTACGTCAGATAGTTTGACTCCTGAAACAGAATAAAACTATAGTATAAAGAAGTATAAATTCTGCAAATGACAATGATACCCCCCCCCTCCCAATTTTTGAGCATGTACAAACAACAAAATGTACAAGAATGCAAAGCCACACTCAAAATAAATCTTTTCAAGTACGTTCTTTCAGGAAACTATTGAAACAACAATTTTCTTTTCTCAGATCCTTTTACTGAAACAACCAAATAATCACACAGCAGCTAGCTGGTGTGACTTAAGTATGCCAGACAATTGTAACTAGTTTTCCCCTCGCCATACAAAAAAATGAATTCTGAATTGGGCCTTCGGAAAGGCCAGAACATCAACTGTCAAGACTATATGTCTGGGTTTCAGCGCTCGCAGATTCTAAAATCTGTGCAAGACAAAACTCATTGAACGAAAAACTTCATAAATGGACCTCAAGGCACAGCAAAAAGTGAAAGTGGACAGAGCATATACTGAGTGTATGAGTTCTGAGGGAGCTAGTGGCGCTGAAAATCTGGCATGGATTTAATATTGATTCTTTAAAAAAGCTAAATCACAATGTCTGTGTCTTCAAACACTGACAAGCTATTATGATGTATTAACACAACACCTCCAACATATTACGTGTGCTATGTTGTACACCAATCTAATCATAAAATTTGGTTCCCAGATCTCATCCTTTGGTATCGTATCATGCAGTTCAAGCGCATCTTAAAAACAGTTGCACCATTTCGATGTCTATCATAAATTAGGTGGTATAGGCCCCTTTATCAATATGGTGGTAGAACAGGTCCAAAACTGGTAAATACTGGAAAAATCGATAGAAATAGGCAGCCCCGGGAAAAGCGTAAAACTTTAAGAAGAGCAAATTAACGGCAACCACGGGGACTCACCATCATCCATGTCCATGTTTTTATCAGGGAAGAAAAACTCCATGACAGCCTTGTAGAACTGATAGGTCATCTGGATCTGGATGGGAGCCACGTTCACCTCAAAGTGTTCCTTCACAGGGATGCCACCCACTGGGAACAGTTCACGGTGTCAATGGAATATGTGGGGAAAAACAAATATAAAACAGATCCTTTTCTGACTAATATGAAGCGATGTGGTGATTAAACACTTCTCTGTTACATAGGGAAGACCCAAGTTCGATTCGCATGTGGGGAGAATTTTTATAGAGTATCTCAATTTTTCTTTCGGGAATAATAAAAGTTTCAAAGAAAGTCTTTCTCAAAACAGTGCCACTTCAGACAGCACAGCCAAGGTCAACTACAGCTGTTCATGTTTGAGAACAAAAACCTTCACGCTAATCTCATCCACTGGTCCTGAGACTGCTCCCATAACTCCTTCTCTACCACATGATTTTACCTGGCACAGTCATGGGGAAAAATAAGTCATTTGTACCATTGCAATTTGTGCAATAGTTGCGGTAGCTAGTAAGGTCTATACTATAACTTCTCTACCTCCTTGAATACTAAAGAATATCGTCAGTTCATGACAGATTAACCATTATTTCTATTATCATAATTAATGCAGATATGTCTCACTACATAGGGGAATAAGGCAAATGTGTTCATAGTCAGCTGGGCGATCAAATTAACATTCTTTGCTTTGTAAGGGTTAAAAATAAATCTTTTTTTATTTACTCTGATGATACTAGCATTAGTAATCCTAATTTACCTGGAGGTCTCTCCGTGCAGGTGATTCTCAGAGCCATCTGTCTGTTCTCACCATCCTGGCCAGTTGGGTCCTTCGGTACCAACACTTTCTGCAGAGTCATTAGCAACATATTGTTGAGTTTTATGTTTGGAGATTTGACACAATTAAGATCATCTGATAGGTTGTTAATTCTATTTTCGGATACAACATCTCAGTAAATGGAAGGAAATACTCAATATAATAAATGTCCTTATGGAATCAACCTTCCATCCATTGCTTGCAAGGCACAGAGCTCAATCCTTACACCACAGAGCCGAATCCCTAAAGTAAGTTGGTAGAAAGGAAAAACACATAAAAAATATATACTAGAGACTAGTGAAATTAAAGTACAACCCCATTACAAATTACAGTTCTTTTTTCTGTGTCTGTGAAACATTGGTATAACCCTTCTGTGACCTTGGATCTACGCATCAGGTCAAGCATGTTTAAAATTGGAGGACAAGAGGGGGGGGGGGGGTAATTTTGGGAAGGGGCAGCTGGGAAACTTTACTTTTATCCCCAAACAAAACTGACCTGGTAAAAGTTGTCTGTCAGTAGATTCTCCACCTTGACCCAGTTCAGCTCTAGCTGATGTGTCCAGCTGTCGTCGTCCCGGTTCACCTTGGAGTACCTACAAATCAGTTAATTAATTGTAAATGTATTACGCCTTCACGACACAATTTTCCGAAAATTTATAAATTGTATTATGTTGACCCTGCCCGTTGGGCCAACCTCAGACGCAATAACCCTAGTTCATAATCAGGGCACTCTACAGTGGCAACCAATACTTGCATTTTTGAAACATTTTCTGTTTTGATGCGATATTGTGTATTACATAACACTGATACATTATTGCATATAAAATGTATTAATGTTATGTCTCTATGTCATTGTACACCAAATTCCGCACCCAGTCTTATATTTATTTTTCTATTTTCATGTTTCATTTATTCTAGACAAACAACCTCCCCCCTCCCCTCCCGCCCCAGTATAAATGAGAACCCAGAGTGCCTGTACCCCGAGTACACTAGGTGCTTATACATTGAGCTGGCTGAAATATATGCCAACTAGCGCCCACCAAAGCAGGTGGTTGGAGGGCACCACAGGTAGGTCCTGCTTCTTTACTATCCCCCCTTTGTTTCAATTCGTGTCCTTCTTTTTCACATTTTATTAGAGTGTCTCAGCCTTTCTACAGGGATGTTGTATCCCTCACAGCTGGGTTAGAGCTCTGAAAGAGAGAGTCTGAAACCCGCTTCCTAAACGATCTAAATTGTGTCGGTGGGGGCGTAAAAACACCTTCATTTTTTTTAAAAGCATTTTTTTAAATACATGCATTAAAAGACCATTATTGTGTCAGTGCACGTCTCTTTAACCCAAACAAATGTAAAAAAAAAGACTTATCAAAGCCAGTGAGTCAGTGGTCACACATTCTACTTTTCGAAAATTTCATGTGAAAGAAGAGAAGCTTGACGGGCCCCTGTGTCTCTACAGGAGAAATTGAACAAGCCTCTGGATAAGCTATAGATGACCACCGAACGTGTAGTTAAAGCTGGTATCCAGGTGTAATGGCCAACGCAAAAAACAGCACATTGATATCCCTGCAATAAGGTTAAAACATAAAAATTTACTTACACAAAATTCCTTAGCTCCAGCTCAGCAATACCACAGTGGCCATCCCTTTCTGTCATGCGCCACTTGGCATATTTGAAGCACACTTCATTCCTTCTCACCACCTGTGCCTGCTGCGCTGTTAATGGGAGAAACAAACAACCAACACATCACCTTTTTGTCTGTTGATTATCCCTTTTTAAAATCAAAATGACCTTCATTACAGCACTTTAACTTTTTTCCTTTTATTATAATCATTATTGAAGCAATTATCATGTTCTAGTGAAATAATGATTTTCTCTGTGAAATTCTTCTTCTAGATAATCATTTTGTCTAGGTAATCATTTTGTCCTGTCATAAATGGTTTAAATGAAAGAACTAGATCTAGAATTTTTTAATACGGTAGCTAAGTCACTCAATATTTTTATACTTTATGGACAAGCTTCTCAAGTGCCTGCACACACATATGTACACTCAAATGGACACACACAAATCAAGCATATCATTATTGTAGTTTGCTATCCGTGTATGGAACAAAATTTGTAAACTCTGTTCTTAAAGCATTTGACCTTAGCACAATCTTAAAAATGAGCTCTCACATTTTAATTTGGATTAAAAATTCACGACAGCTTAAATATTAATTTTTTAAATGAAGAGGCTAAAAGGTGTATTAGACTAATAAAAAAGTTTTTTCACATTTTTTCGAAAGTATCTGAAAGCTCCATACGCGGATAACTAAATGCACTGACGATACATCATAGCACACAAACCTTTCTCCATCTTCATCTGGGCCTTGACCTGCAGCTGACTCTCGTTGTAACAGCTGAAAGAGACAAAGAAAAATGGCGAAACTTCGCTTCAGAACATTAATAAGGTCACTGCGCTAGTATTTTTGCTACTTTGAGATAAATGGAAAAAACTGTTTAACTAAACTACTTACCATCTAATAATGATTGAACTTGCCACGCACGTTACTTTTGTGACTGAAAGCCCACTTTTGTTTTGGTTTTACCAAAAGAGAGATACAGTACCACCAAACAGATTAAAAGGCTAGTTGCATTTTGGTACAACTCTGAGTTATGCCATCTTGCTAGCACAGTGACAATATATTAATTAACCCTATGGACCTGAGAGCGTGTGTGAGTGTGTGATACATTTCTGAGAACATTATGCACACTACAGATTTTGTAAAAGTATTCAAAAGGCTGGAGACACAAGTAAAACTATGATCTACATGTGACAGCATCAATAAACCCAACAGGTTAATCCACAAACAACAATTTTCCGTCACTGAGGTCTTGAGGGATCCAGTAGCTCAGTCTTTTGAGGACCCAGGCTCACAATTATGTCAAGTGTGTGCCACTGACACAGCGTGTAGGTGGGTGGTCACTAGGGTGTGTCTTCAAGCCAAACACCAAAACTCAAGCTAAAAAACAGGGTACCTGCATGGTGGCAACTAGCAATGGTATATGGATTAGCTATGTTATTAATATTGTGCATTATTCATGTACTGTATTTATTATTTTATGTATTCATGTTTTGTATCTATGTACACCATTGTAAAAAAAATTCCAAAGGGGGATCATAAAGTGGAATATATAAATCAAAACTTTTTTTCTTTTGTACAAAAACCTTGCAAAAATTGGGATTTGAAGACTTAGCAGTACCCCCGTGTGGCTTTCAGAAGCACACCATTAAAAATGCACTTTAAATGCACCCTTATCTCGATCAGCTGGGTTGAAAATTTGCCCAGATTGTCAGACAATGACTATAGCCAGTAACACTCACCTGATCCTCATGCCAAGCTCCTCATTCTTCAGTCCAATCCAGTTCTTCAAATCTTCCATCTCCACTTCCAGTAGGTTCATGCTGTACCAAGGAAACACAGACCATACAAAAAGCAGTGTGGTTGATTGCAAAAGATTGTAAATATTTTTTGTTTTAGTTAGAGTTTTAAACACCCTCTGTCCGTCTGTCTGTCTGTCAGTCTGTTCGTCTGTCTTTTCAGAAGCTGCATTTTTTAAAGTCTTGAAATCAGTTGCAACACAATTAGGTCATGTAAGTGTAGAGGATTAGAGCTAAGGATGATAAATGTTTTTGATAGATAAGTACACATCCCCATAGTAGGAGTAGAAAAGTACTTGGAGATTTCTCATCTGTCTAGAAAAGAGAGAAGAAATTGCCTAGATCTAAAACAGCCATCTACCTTTCCTCATCATCTCGCGTTTTGGCAATGTAGTACTCTTTCTCCAGTTGGCGTAACTCTTGCAATCTTTCTCTGATGAAATACAAAATGTTAACATATGTAGAGGTAAAAATACACTCACAAATGAATTACACTTTGCATGATATAGAGTATACTTTACATTTGAAATGCTTCTTTGGGCATTTCTCTTTATGCAAAATTTAAGTGAATCCCAAATGTAATTGATTTCCATATCTTCAATAAACCTGTTTCGATTGAACTGGGCGACAATATTGCCAATGGTAAAACATATCTGTTATTTCATTCCCTTCATAAAAATTTTTAAAAAATCTTATACAACTGAAACAGTAAACAAAGAGAAAAATAATCCCATTATCATCTCAAGGAGTAATCATTGAAATATGAAAGCTCAAAATATGAGGCCCTAAGACTGACTTTACCTAACAACTTCCTGTAACTGTAGAATGGGTGTCTTCTGGTCATCCTCTCTGTAGAGCTGGAGTTTGAACCTCATACTCTGCAAGCGGTCACTGGCAGCCTAAAGAGTGTGAAATCCATGAAACAAGATGTCAGTATTTGGGATATAGGCTACTGAACTATGTAACACAGCATATGCAGAGAGAAGTCATTTCAGTAATTTTCAGATGGAAAAAAATGGAGCTTCTGAAAAGACAGACAGACAGACAGACAGACACACAGACAGACAGACAGACACACAGACAGACAGACAGACAGAAACACAAACAGACAGACAGACAGACAGACACACAGACAGATGCATTCATGCACACACAGACGCACACACACACGCATGCACACATGGACGCACTTACTCATGCAAGCAGGTATGCACACACACATATATCCATTTATAGGCTCAATAGACATTTCTAACTGAATAATCAAAAGTAGATGAGAGAGAGAGAGAGAGAGAGAGAGAGAGAGAGAGAGAGAGAGAGAGAGAGAGAGAGAGAGAGGGAGAGGGAGGGAGGGAGGGAGGGAGGGAGGGAGAGAGAGAGAGAGGGAGAGAGAGAGAGAGAGAGAGAGAGAGGGAGGGAGGGAGGGAGGGACGGAGGGAGGGGGAAATCCTACTCAAGAAAGATGTAGGGGCCTGTGCAGAAGGTAGACACTAACCTTCTTCTTTGGTTCTACATACAGCAGTAGGTTGTTCACTATGTCCATGATCACAGAAAACTGCAGCTGGAGAAGAAAACAAAAACAGATGGTGTTTGGACAGCCATAAGATTTCATGAACAAGGCAAGAAAGCACTTGAAACATTTTAAAACTCTTTAAATAGAAATATCAGGAGGCTTCGGTTTTAGATGAGGATTTTTTTCTCAAGTCCTGGTAAGCTCTGCACATTATCTAAAAGGCCTTGAAGCTATAATTAAATAGTTAAATATTTATTCTTTCAACAATGAAGGTAAGAATCAGAACATTTTTGAAAAGCAAACTCAGAAATAAGTTTAAGAATCTGTGATGGGTGGTGGGTTGGGTCTAAAAAGGCTGAGAACATCATTGTGTTAGTTTTTTCCTATGTAGATCAGAACAGCATATCTTTATCTATGTAATCGGTAGTCTAGTGGTTAGGCTACCAGATGTGTAATCGTGTTATCGTGAGGTTGCGAGTTCAGAGATTCAAGCGGCAGGTCCGACGATGTGTCTTTGGGAAAGACAATTATCACAGATTTTCCTCACATCACCCAGGTGGGAATGAGTACTCAACAATAGACAGCGAAAGATCTTGTCAGTTTGTTAGTGTTTTAGCACCTGAAAATGAGATTGCACTGTAAGCTTCCAAGGAATTTGAGATTGTTTCAGAATGCTATCAGCTGTGCTGGAGTAACAATATAGATTGTAAAGCGCACAGAGCTTGTTGTTGAGCAGGAATTTGCGCAATACAAATGCTATCTATTATCTATTATTATTATTATCATCTCTCAGGCATCAGCTGGCGAGACTCACTGGGTTGGAGTAGGCGTAGACACTCTCATGCAGCAAGGTGAAGGTATCCACACCCTCCTCTCGGCTCATCACATCAGCATCTTCTGCAGGCTAGATAAAGACACAGAAGAGGAGACCACACAGTTAGGACTGGTAAGGTTTTGCAACAACAAAAAAGCAAAATGGCCAACAGAAATTATAGACATAGAAAGGAAACAAAATGAACATACAAATGGCAGAGGAGAAAAAGCAAAATCTAAAATGTTCACTTTACGTGCAGAAATACAAGGAAATTACTTTTCTGACGATCAGCATGACTGAAGGTAATACCATAGCAGAATGACACTAGCGTTAATTTTTCTGCTTTCCGAAAACAAAAATTGCAGACTTCGACAGTTCTTACCGCAAAGTGATGAAAAAATTGTCAAATAGAAATTTACATAAAATAACATTTTCACACGGTTTGTTTTTATCTAACATTTCTAGAAAATAATACCAAAAAATCTTTTATTCCTTACCGGCAAAGGCACCTCAGGCAGATTGTTGGGGTCCACATCCCCATAGTTGGCGTAGAAAAACTTACAGCTGCAGCGGTAGATGATCCTTTGGAGTTGAACAGTGTCCCCAGGGCTTGGCTAGAGGGGGACGAGGGAAGAACTTGAGATTGGGGCTTATTTTTTGTACAATCAACATAAAAGATGTACGCAGGAGAAAAGAGGTGATAATTTCTTACCTTATATTCTCGTACAGTATTCTGAGTTTTTCAGAGTATGGGTCATGACGCTTTACAGTAGACCTTCATTGAAAAAAACTGATTTGATCATTTTTGTGAAAATATTTTTTTTGCATCTCCATACCAAAAAATGGGAAGGAGGGTGGAAAATAGACTGGACACTTTTCACGGTGAAATGTGTGTCTTCTTTGTATTCCCTTGACATTATCCACTGTAGTGGATCCTAAAGTCCAGCTGACTTGGTCCTCTTTTGACTACAATATACCCCAATGTAGAAACATAAATACTGAAGGCCTTGAAAGCTTCAAAGAGAGAATAAATAAATTGCACTCAAGCCTATTTACTTTCCTTGAACCTGTTTGCTTTTCTGAGTAAGAGAAGCACACATGGACACAATAACCTTAATTAAATGCAGGGAAAAGGTAAAAAAGACAGACTGACACAACAAAGGGAAAGAAAAGAAGTAGGAACTACCAGTGATACCCTCCAACCACCTGCACTTGGGTGTATTTGAGATTAACACATTTATTTAAATGGTGTAGAACTTTTAAATAAAAACTTACTTTACCTGAGTGTAACATAAAATAAAAAGAGGTTGAAGGGACAATGGAAGAGAACTTTAAAAAATTGTGCATTACTTGAGTGTGACGGGTGAGGTAAAAAGAGGTTGATGGAATGAACATTAGAAACAGAACTGAAAAGAACATTACTTCACTCGAGTGTGACCTGAGATATAAAGAAGTTAAAAAAACAAATGGTAGAGAACTTAAAAAAGAAACTTACTTGAGTACAACCAAAGATAAAGAAAAGCTTGTAGGAAAGGAACGATGGTGCAGAACTTAAAAGAAACCTTCTTTACTGGAGTGTGATGAGAAACCCAAAGCATCAACAGTAAATCACTGACCTGCTCCGCAGAAGGTGCTACACCCGTGACTGCACTACTGACCACACTGCCCACAGACTGACCACTGCCGATCATCTCGGGCAGACCAGTCAAGTCAGCATTGGCGCGGTCCTCCACGTTCTCTCTGGACAACCAGGGGATGTTGTCACGGTCGTAGCTGTTGTTGGGATCCACGGTGGCGTAATACTAAAAGGGAAACAGGATTGTTTTGGGTTTTTTTAGTTTGAGCATTAGGCTTTTACCATTGACTGAGGTGTTATGGTACGGTTCTTTGCCATTGCAAACAGAAGATGAAGTCTAATTCCTTTGTAGAGAAATTATCTTATTGTGTACCCCAATCTGTTGGGATGCTGTACCTCATTCAGCTAAGGTTGGTCCTCACAATGACTGATATTGTGTTAATAAAGGTGTAAAACACTTACAAAGTACAATCAATTGATTTTTTTTTCTGGTCAGAGAGTGTCGAAAAAGTGAAATTGAATGCGACTCAAAGCAGAAATATTTCCTCCCAAATCTTCAAAAGAAAATATAATCCTTGAATCTCAAACACACAACTGAAGACAATCAATACTCATGTTCAGAAGCATCTGATAGATTAAGGGAAGAAGAACCTCTTTCTTACTCCCCATGTTTGTATTACACCGACTCAAAAAACAAATCAAACCCCACACCAACAGTTATTCTGTACCTGCATACAGTCCACATCACCATTCCATGTAGACTTAGAACGCAGTTGACCTTGCCGCCATATGGGCATATGTGTATAGGAAGTAATCTTTGCCCTTGCTGCGCTGACGATCACATAGCCCGGCGCTTCACAGCCTCGTACAACGACTTGACTGTTGTGAAGCTCAACTGAAATAAATGATACATGGAACAGAACCTCACTGCATAGTTCACTGATAAGGTCATTATTTCTTAAAATGTATCCACATAAAAGACACAAGGTTAATATTTTAGCTCTAAAACAAACTGACAAACACTCTCATGGGCTGATGAAACAGCATTATTCTCTTCACATTATTAAAATGTTTATTAAAAGTATCTATAGTACCAAAAAAAAAAGGCACCTACAATGAAAAGCAGTGCTCTATCTCCATACATTGTCCGTTGACTTCTAACATTTTTACCAAGGAATATTCAGGTCTTCCCTGCATGTATTTAAAAGCAAAGTAACAAAGTACTCACTATGCCAGTTTGTCTGTAGGATATCTGTAAGTTTGCAGGCTCGGATACCATGTAGTTGCTCCACATTGGAATCAGAGGGCTGAAACAGCATGAACATTACAGTGGTTTTTACGGATGATAAACTTTCATTTGCTTTTTTAACTTTGTGTCAGTTTTTGCAGCATAAAGACTTGCTGGCAATGTTCTGAATAGAAAGCAATTGTAATCTTGTACATCTTCATTAAATAATTAAATAGAGGGCCTTAACACATTTAATATCTCTTCTTGAAGGGAGGCTCTGAGCACTTTCTGGTTTATCATGACCGAAAAATATTATTTGCAGTTTCCTGGAAAACAGCTGTGCAGGGTACCATTTTACAGACACTCAAACAAACAAAACCATGACAAGATCTATCACCATCTCAGGTGGGTGCCCCTTCTCACCGGGTCGAAGTGAGGAAAATGTGTGTAAAATGACCCTCTCATGAATACGAGGTAAGGGCCAGATTTGCACTAGGATTGAAAAACAAACACCATAAGGATGCAGGTGCAGCAGCATAATCATTGGGCTACCTATGCCACTGTCAAACCAGGTAGCTTTGACAATAACAACAAAGTCCACAACAGTAACAACAACAGCAACAACAACAAAATCCGACCCACCTCCTCAGTGAAGGCCACAGACTTGCTGTCAGACTCGGAGACCAGCTTGAGGAGCATGGAGTGGGCGTGTCCCATCTGTAACTTGCTGAGAGGGGAGGGGCTTACGGCTTCACCCCCGGGATCCTCTCCAGACTCAGACTGTATGTCTGGACTGGACAAAGAGAACGACCGATTCTTCTGACGGAAAAGGAAGCAAAAACAAATATTTTACAAAATGACAAAATATTCTCAATGCTTAAAAATGAGTTACAACAGCATTTGACATTTGAAAGAAAAAGGAGAATCTTGTCACACATTTTTTCCCCTTTAAAATGCCATTGTAAAACATTATGTCTGATAGAATGACAAAATACACAAGTTAGTCATAATTCTATGAAAACTTTTTCACCTCCAACAAAAAGATAGCAAAGCTTCAAATACATAAATCTGGCTCATCCATTTCCAGACTGATATCTTTAGGTTTGCACAAACATTTAGCCCGCGGTTTTGGCTCAAGATATTCATCACAGAAAAGAAAACGATTTTAACCATATCCGCACGTCGCATTTTACTATCGTATCCATACAACGTGGGGAACTCTGTGCCACCACTTTCCAAAGAGGAAATTTACTTGTTAATCCGATCCGTACGCTTTGCATAGCAGTCTGTCAAAAAGATTTTCGAGAAATACTCAAAAAGTTTCAAAGAGATCTTCGCACTCGAAGTACTCTAAAATATGAAGAGTACAACCCCGGGGGTACAAAATGACCCCAGGGCATACGGATAGGGTTAAAAAGTCTTCAAATAATGCCCTTGCAAACAGCAATCGAACAATTGCAAGTGTTTAAACATTAAAACTAGAGAAAACTGTACTTTTATTTCATTTCATAATGAATCCTGAAGACCAATTGCAGCACCCACAATTTGCTCTTTCTGTTTAAACCCATGTCCGGCATAGGTGGTGAAATGGCAAGACTCTTTGCTGTTACAAACAGATGTGATTTTTAACACCCACAAGGGGAAGTTATTTCATTCAATGTTTCCATCTTTCTGCTAGGACGTTGTATCCCACTCAGCCTGGGTTGGCCCAATGAGACTGCATGCTATAGGCTTTAAATTAGGTCTATGAGAGTGTAAAACATATGCAATCAATCATAAGTTAATTTCCAAACTATTTCTATAACATCCCTTACTGAGAAAAATGAGTACCCCCCAATGTTATTTACCCATTTTGCAAAGCAAGGTCACACAGAATAACTCAGTTTTCTTGCGAGAGTGACTGTAGGTAACATACCACAACATTGGGCGTAGAGTCGACCCTGAAACCCTTCAAGGCCTCAGAGGAAAGGTTCCGGCGCAGTGCCTTGGCCCTCATGTAGCTGTCGTACAAGCCGATGACCACCGTCCTGTTGAACTGGTTCCAGGCTCCCTTCATCTCATGGATGGAAACACTGTGGGTTGGAACCCGCTGGGGAGGGTTTGGTTACTTTGATTAAGTAAAGAGTAACCACATCAACACATGATGGTCATTTAGTGCTGAAAAAAGAAAGACAATCAATAGACAGAGACGAAAAAGGGAGAGGAAAGAAAAAGGACCTGTCATTGGTGCCATCCCACCACTGAGTTGTGCGGGGGGGCGCAAAAATGTAAAAATGTCGTTCTAGGCATTCCGATCTGCTTATTCTTTCAGGTATTTGAGATAATGCGCCAACTTGAAGCAAGACATGGCATCTAAAAAGTATGCGACACCAGCACACTAAGATGGCTTGGTATGATGTGGGTTTAATAATTCTTTATAACAGAAATGTTTGTCAAACCAAACAACCTCCACAAATGCAAAATTAACAGTATACTTTTTTAAAATAGTCGAATTCGCTGAAACAATCCAACTGTCAAAGACAATTACCTGTACAAACCACCACTTCCCACTTCCCCTCTTGCATTTTGTTCTATATATTTTAATAAAACTGTCCAAGAGGACTACCTGTCTAAGATGACCATCTGTCTAAGGTGACCACCTCTCTCCTTGACAATGAGTGGTTGCCTTGGACAGGTTCGACTGTAGTAGCTTTGTCTTGTCTACCTCAATGTAAAATATGAGGACTCCAGACTGACAGAGACACAAAACTATGTGCCGTCAAAAAAAAGAAAAATTTGCAAAGTGCTTTCACTGACCAGTCCATTTTCATCCTCTTTCTTTCCTGACTTGCTCTTCCTGTCAGACCTCTGATAACTGATCCTGAAATACATCACATAGCAGAGCTTACAACTCAGAATAACAGAGATATTTCATGGTACAATAATGGCCTATGCGATTATCATAGTTTTTAAAAAAATGAAATGAAAAAAAAAAGACTGCAAATTGTCCCATCATATGTACATGAAACATTTTGTTTCTAAATGTAGGTGTTTTATGTCCCCATCAACAAAATTTAGATTATTTAGGAGGATCGCTTTGATCCTGCCAATTCGGGCTAATCTGGGATGAGAGATACACAATGTTCCAGCAGAAAGACTGATATTACTCAATAAAACTTTTCCCCACATGGGAATCAAACTCAGGTCTTGTGCTTGAAACAAAGCCCCCAACCACTACACGACAGACACCATTTATGTAACAATAACAGATAATGAAAACATTTTAAGATATCTTACTGATTTTAAAGGCCTTTGGCCCATACATCCACACGTTATAATAGGCAGTTTAGTGAAAATTTCAAATTATTATTTGTCTGATATGCTTTGAAATACTTTCATATGAAAGCTCTTGCCTTCATGATCATAAAACAGTTTAAATTTTGTTGATATCTTTATTAGTAAAAAGTTTATGTAAAAAGTTATGGCGATTTTTCATGCCTAAAATCTGGCCAATTTCAGGCCACTTTTAACACTGAGTTTTTGTGACACAAAAATGCAACTTTACAACACAAATGACCATTACTCAACACAAAATGCATATTTTTTAAAGTGTTGTACATCAGTTTGTTGGGAATTTTACACAGAATGCACACAACTACAAAACCCCTCTTTACAAAGTCACAGAAATATTTTTTGGGTACTTCTAGAGGTTCAGGGTGATAAAAAATCCCCCGCAAGGATAACCCAAAATGGACAAAATGGGCTATATCTTTGCTGCTAATTGTCATATTCATAGCTGCCACTCAGAAATTTATAAAAAGGAGGAAATTCACACGAAGGCGTACGCGCGCTCTCCGAAACCAGTGAGATCCAGAGGCAATATATACTGGAAAATCTAGCCTACGGTTTTGGAAGGGAAAGCTGTCATATTGTTAACCATAGGCAACTGAATTAAAATGTATTTGAAAAAAACAAACAAAAAAAACAACAACCATAAAGGCAGTAAGTTGACTAACAAGCATTCAAGTCAATTTGACACAGTTTGGACTTGGTGACTAAAAATCTAGTGTTTTTTGCCAGCTGGTGTCTCATAAAAAGATTTCTTTCACTTTAAACGTGTACATAGATAGACGTAGAGCAGTATCGGATCAAGGATACACACAGGCACTCCTGTACAATGGCGGTCCCGTTTGCACTTATTTAGTGCCCCTGTAGTGTGTTTCTTATTTAGAGATATCTAATCTAGATCTAGATATATCTAAATATGTGTAAATCTAGATTATATCTAGAGATAGATTTTCTAGATCTAAATCTAGATCTAGATTCACTTCCGCAGCAGCCACAATAGCCGTCATGTAAACAAACGGGGGGGACCGCACAGGAGTGCCGCGGGCCTCGATTTCTTTCGCAAAAAACGGCTAGATCTAGATCTAGTTCAATTTTCTAATGAACTTTTCAAGTCGCACACCGGCTGCTTCTTTCTCATTCCAGTTCCTTTTATTTTTGCATTCTGAATCAATTTCTCTCGAATTTCCGCCAATTTCAATGACAACTCGACGCGCTAACGTCCCGATGCCCAATCGACACTGTGTTGCTCCACAACAATAAACAATGTGAAACTAGCGCTGGGCCTAGAAGAACGGAAGTAGAAAGCTACGGGCGGACATGCGCGAACCGCGTTTTCGTCTCTCTCCCAGTTCGGTGTTTTCCGCGTGGAAAAAAAAAAGTATGAAATTTGCGACCAAGAGCGGTCCAGCGGAGGAAGGAGGAAAGTTGAGGGAAACGCTAGATGTAGCGGAGTTTCTGCTATTTAGCGGGAAAGTGGCAGCTATGCATATTTAGACAAATCATACATCATTCTCTTTGTCTTTTTTCACTGTTCATAATTATTAAAGAGCTAAGCCAATTAAGTAATAATTTCCAATTTTTATGGCCATTCTTAAGATTTCAAAACGTATTTTTAGTGTTTTTCTAACCGTTAAACGGATTCCGTAAAAAAAAACCCCAACTTCTTAATGACCGCCATAAGTCAGCTCCCTATCCTTCTTTTACAAAGTATTGTAACATACATTTGTGTGAAGCTATATTTTATGCTTTCAAGTGCATAAAAGAGCTTATAAATTCAAGAAAAATGCTCTTCGGAGACCTAGTTGTAGACCCACTGGAACATTTAATAAACTGCGGAAAGATGAAAAGGAAAAAAATGACAGTCATTTTATGATCTTCACACAAGTTGCACTTGCAATTTTTTGGACAAATTATATTTATAGTCTACCTCATTCTATTATTTTTTCACACATGTTTCTTCACTATTCATTACATTTTGAGTTATTATCAACTAGCAATTTTTATTGATGAGCATATTCTTTTTTAAATATTGAGTCAGACTCATTGGCCATAAATTATATTTTTTTAAATGGCACAATTTGATAATGTAAATGTAAAAATATCCAGAAAATAACAACATTAAATTATTAGGTACTGAAAGTGAAAGACTGAGCAGAGGCTTAGATAAACTCTGTTCTCTACTACTATACTACTAACAAGTAAGTTTGCGCAAAACTGATTTAAGAAAAAGGTTGTCTCATAAAAGCAATTGTTATGATGAGATTTATTATTAACTCTGAAATATATAGCTAGATGCTGAATCTAACATCAATTAGAACTGTGCAATTCAAGCTTTATTTCAATTCCAAAGCCCAAAGGCATAAATAGTTAGATATGCTGGCTTTTGACTGTTTCTAGCCTACTACTGCTGAATTCTAGACTTACCTATCATTTGCACTATTCAAGAGCCAAATATGGTAAAATAAAAGCAAAACTGTGAATTCTTTTGTCTGTCCGTTCATAATTTCATAGCCGCACGTATTATTATTATCCGGAGAAACAAGTAAAGCGCGAATAAATGCGATGCCGGCGCAATACGTTATCACAGTGTGCAGGGGAGAGCGGGGCGCCGGGTCGCTGACCGGCCGATTCGGCGTTTCGGCTTTTTGTATGCATTTTTACGGGAAGCGCCGTAGCGTTGTGCGAAGTTCAACCTAAACAACTCGGGTGTCAAAAGAAACTAGAATGGATAATCTATAACTTCTGAAAGATTCATAAATATACAGCCAGTAGTTTTCATTTTATCGCGTTGTAAAAACTGCCTTGTTTTCAGATGCAAATATTTCCAGTTCTACTGAATCGATTTTCACGCGAAGACCGCCATTTTGAAGACCTTTCTTTTCTGTTTAAAAAGATGTATCGGGAGTGGTAGTGCAATTTGCAAAACGAAACAAAACTGTGAGTTGTTTAGACCCACCGCAGCGCGAGGCTTCACGGCCGGTCACAAAAATCTACGAGGCGTACCGCGGCCGATTCGCCCTGCCGCGAGCGTGTTCACTAAACTGCCTAGTTATAACATGTGAGTCGGCAAATACATAAATAAGTGCTACAGTGAATGAAGACTGACTTAGTGACACTGAGGAAGAAACTCCGGTCGGCGGGCTCAGGTGTGGCTCCTGCCTCATCCTTGCCCATGTTTTTGCACAGGTAGATGCGCGTAGGTCCCAGCTGACACTTCAGGTACTTGATGCTCCAGTCAGCTCGTGGCCGGTGCAACAAACCGTCCTCCAAGGGCACCAGGTTCAGACGATTGCACATCTGGTTGGGGAGTTTTTGTTTAGTTTTAGTCAAAAGAAACTCATTGACACAATGAGTAAAAGGAACAACAAGATGGACAGAGAGAAACAACATAAAGAAAGCAAAAGAACTGGGACCTACTAGTGGCATCCTCCAATCATCATTAACAGAAAGAAAAAGTGAAAAGGTGAAAAAAGTAAGAAAATTAATAGAAGAGTAACACATCCTTCTAACCACATTTGAGGCCACATCAAAGGCAGAGCACTTTGCTCCTCCATGAGAGAGAATTAAAAACTTATAGAAAACTAAAATCTTTTGTTTTACGTAGAGTTTTACAGCATTTGCAATGCAATTAGGTCATACAAATGCAGAAGATTAGAGGTGTTACAAGAGAATAACAAACAAAAATAAAAGAAATAAAGATAAAGACAACAGATGTTTGATATTAAAAAGAAAGAAAGAACTACACCAGCACACCAGCCAACCACCCCCTCTATATGTTTCTAAACACTGACCTGTAGAACAAAGGAATCAGAGATGAGCTCAGCACCGTTTTCCTTGGCGTTGGACATCCAGTGACAAATGGCAAACTTGTGAAAGTCCACGGACAACTTGATCTTCCTGCGAGAAGAAATCGTTTTTTAAAATTTTGTTAATGTAGGTGTTTTTGCACCCCCATTGACACAATTTAGATAATTTAGAAGGCAGGCTTCCACCCTGTCTGTAAGGGCCGATCCAGGCTAGTTGAGATACAACATCCCAACAGTAAGGCTCCATAAAATACAATACTCCATAAAAATTCTCTCCATACGGGTATCAAACTCAAGTCTTCTACATATCACAGTGAAAATGCAGGTAAGAACTCAGAGACAGAGATAATGTTTTTACTTTTCCAGAACAGAAATGAAACCCATTCACTTAAGACACGGTACCACAATTTAGCAAGCTTATCCATATCATTGTTAAGCATGGTACCTACCCAACTATTAAAGCCCTTGAAAGCACTTTGGTCACCAGGTAATAAAAAGAGAACACAACTGTACCCAGTCACAAAGCAAACATAATTGTGTCAACTCATATCAAAAGAAAAAAAAATCCAACCCACTCACTTGTAGTGTCTCGTCAGCTGTAGTCGTCGCGGGGTGATCACTCCAAACAGCTTGCCCCTCCTCACGGGACGTGTAACGCTGAACATACAGTTCTAAAAATAGATCAACACACACAAGACAGTCATGACGCACAAAAGAAAGTCAGCCAAACCGACCGACCAACTGTAACACACACACAATGTAACATACCCCTAGAGCGAAAGCTCTTTAAAAAAATTATAAATGTTTTATGCCCATAATGACACAAATTATATCCTTTATGAGTTGGACTGCTTCCACCCAGCCTGCCTGTCAGGACCAGCCCAGGCGGAATTGGACACAGTATCCCATTGACTTCCCCATCCAGGAATTGATCTCACATCTACAGCATGCAAAGGTGAAAAGCCTATATATTTCCCCACAGAAGCCTGTAATGGAGGCATCATAAATTAGATTTTAAATTAAAGAGGAAACATTGTCATTTATACAGCCTTTCTTCTGACAATTAGCAAGTAAATACTGTGAGGTTGGGGAAAGGGGGGGGGGGGCATAGTCGTGATACTGCATGTCATAAGAGTTGACTAAAGGTACACAGGTCTAGTCTCCCAAAAAGAACCAGTTGGCGGAGGGCCAACTACCCGACCCTGTAAAAACTACTAAAAAAGTTACAGAAACATAAGCAAACACGTCTCATCTTTCAGCCTTGGGACACAGAGGAGCTTCTGCAACAATAGTACCAACAATGAAGGACAGTGGACAACATGACAAAGCCAAATGGCTCTACTGACCCGAAACCTTCTCTATCAAACAAGTCTCTCCAGACTGCATTGTGGAATTTTTGCACCTGGTACGAAACAGGAAAGAGAGCTCAAATATCACATGAAATGAAGAGACACAGGCTGCAAATACAAGGAGTCAGCGAAACCCACTGGATACAGTCTAGACAGAAATAACTCAGCTCGGGGGAACAGATATTGTATTCTGACAGGAGAGACAAGCACCATGCAGAAGGAGTTGGAATCATATTAAGTATGCCAAGAAATTATTTTGAAGATGGGAACCACACTGGGAGAGGATCATCATGGTTTCATTCACCACAAGGATCAAGAGCAACAACATGAATATAGTTCAGATCTACGCCCCAACAAATGATACTTCTGATAAAAAAAGTTCAAAATCTCTTGACAAACATTTGTATGGAGAAAACACACCTTTATTTTCTCCAGGAAACGAAGCGTGCTGGCATACAGCTCTGGGCATGATGGGATATCCAGCAAGTTGTCGGCAACAGGTCTTGTCTTCAGACTAAGGTCAAGGTTTAGATTCTGGGAGCGGAAAGCTCGGAAAGAATCATGTTCCTGTAAAAGAATAAATACAAAACAGAGCTGTTAGGTGTCCACAACCTCAAAACTATAAACGACGAAATACCAGAACCATGGAGAGAATATCTCCTTTTTTTTTTTTTTAGATCAGTTCAATCTCAGTTTTAAACAAATTTTATTAAATGAAAGCTCTGACCCACAACTGAAATATCTCATAATGCATGAAATGTATGTTCAATAGTGTAGATATTTTCCCTTTATGTTGTATGTGCAACTTAACCTGTATGATGTTTAATGTATTGTTGAACAAAAAGAAAGGGGAAAAGTCAGCGTCCAACAAAATAGCATGAAGCCTTTGAGAGTTCGAACCTCCAGTGAGAAGTCAGGCACTTTATCTGGCGCACATGGCATCACTGGGTGGTGGTCATTGGCATCTCCAAGGCACAACCATTCCAGGCACACTCTGGAAATGAATAGGAATCGTGAAATAAGTTTTAGAACAATTTTATTTCTTAGAAGTACTTGCCATGTCAGACTAAAAGTTTGTAAAATACAACTGAATATGACAACGGTGAAAGACAGAAATCAGTCAAGGTAAAATGATGATCATTATTCTCTCTCTCTCTCTATCTCTCTTTGTCTCTTTCCCTCCCTTACCCCCCCCCCCCCCCCCTCTCTCTCTAAGAGATGAAAGATAATATAATCAAGATCTAAATACAGGTTAAATATACTTTGTATGAAATGTCAGGAAATCTATTTTTTTTCAAATGGGACAGTAACAAAGTGCAGAACAAAAGATGAAACTGATAGGCCTCTGAGTCTACAATGCAATAAGGCTGAGGGGTGCCTGCTTCTAAAATTATAATAATATTAATATTAAGGATAATAATAATAATAATAAATAATAATTTCATTTACATAGTGCATTCACGCTCTAAGCATTTTTCTATGAGTCTAATAATTATCATTACCCCAGCAGACACTGGAACACTTTAAAATATTTGCAGCTTCCCACGAAGAAAACAGAGCAAGCTGCCATTTTACAAGCGCCAAAACACTAGCATAGTGATAAGATCTTATGCTGTCTATGGCCGGGTACCCAGTTACATCAGGGGAAGTGAGAAAAATTCATGTAAAGTGCCTTTTTCATGGAAAAAAACATTGGGCCACAGATGGGATTCCAACCCATGACCTTCTGGTTGAGCCCTACAGTCTAACTACTAGACCATAGACACCACTAGAATAAAGCTATGTTACTACGCGCCACAGATGTGCCAAAAACAAAATAATGCTATACCTGAAGGTCAAATTGGGTAGGTGCAGCAACTTGCTTTCATTATACTTGGAAGCTGTCCGCACAGAAATGTCGAGGTCGCCTTGCAAAACAAACTGAGCTGCAAATGAAAGACAGGTCTGACAGGTACCAAAGAAAAAAAAAAAGAAAATGAAAAAAACCTCAATATTTTCAGTGAAATGATAAAAATTACAAAATTGTAACAATTTAAACTTTGAAAAAATGTGTGTCAGCAAAATTTTGAAATTATATATTCCAGGCATATAATCCTCAACTCACAGACCACCTCCCACAGCCCTATTCCACACCTCCCACAACCCACCATCTACAGCCCACAAATCACCATTCACAACAAACAAACCAGAATCTATAGCCCACAAATCACCACTCACAACACACAAACCACCACCCACAACCCCTGAATAACCAACCACGAACCATGACCCACAACACATGAACCACCATTCCCAACCCACAAAGTACTCCCCCCCCCAACCCGCCACCCCTAACCCACAAATTATCACCCTCCAAACCACTACCCACAACCCATGAACCACGACTCACCATTGGTCCAGTCCAACAGAAGCTTGGTCCAGGTCCAGTCCATGAGCTCAGTGTTGTTGTAAGGGTCGAGCGAGGCATGGTACAGCCAGCTCATGCAGCTGATGGAGGCCGTGAACCGGCCGTGGAACAGCAAACGCATCTTGTCCCAGAATGGGAGCGGCCGGCTGGGGTCCACCGAGGGCTTGTTGATGCGGTCCATGCTCAGGTTGTAGAGCGCGACAGCTGGCTCCCAGCACACGCCATAGGCCAGGGTCAGGCTGCTCATGTCTGTAAACATCCCCAGAGTAGAAAAGTTGTTTGCAATTTTTTGTTTGAGTAATGAGAGGAACATCAACACAATAAAAGTTAGGGTTTTTGAAAAAAAGTTTTAGTTAGAATTTGATGGCACTTGCAACACAATAAGGTCATAGAAGTGCCGAAGATTAGAGGTGTTACAAGAGAGTAACAAACACAAAAGAAAGGAAGAGAGATAAGAACAATAGATGTTTGATCCAGAGCACCTGCCATCCACTCACAATGGTTGTTCAGTGTAGGGAAAAGGCAAGAGAGACAGAAACAAGAGAGGGAAGGAAAAGAAGTAGGACCTACCAGTGGCAGCCTCCAACCAACCATGGTTATTGACAAGTAAACAGAGACTCAATGGACCCTAGAAACGACGATATGGTAGGGATTAAAGACATCATAAACGGAGTGATGTCATCTAAGAATCAGGACCCAAATTTTCCCTACACGTATCAGTAAGAGATTTTGCTTTTTTCTTGTTCCCCCTCATCAAGCCAATTGAAGGAATAAATGGTAAAAACATTAGATCAAATTAAGAGCATGTTTAGATTATTCTGTAAAAAAATCAGAAGGAACACTGAAATTTCTTCTTCTCCAAGAGAACAACAAACTTGTGGCCCATTCATTTATTTTGAATTTAAGAGTAAACATGTCCCCCCAACTTAGCACAAAGGAGCTGTAATTTTGACAGGGCCATCAGACTACTACCGTGGATTTTAAGTCCTAACATGTCTACTGAAAACTCACCACAGCTAAAATCATGGAAGAATTTCAGCGACGGCAGATTTCTCTCCACAGCCATGGTGGTCCAGGGCTCATCCACCTCCACAGTGCATGTTCTTTTTGCTGTGTAAGTCAGAAGAATACAGAAAAGGAACATAATTTCAAACAAAAGCAACAAAAATATTACACCTCCTAATTGATAAAAAGAGTTGACAAAGGGTGTAAAGCATTTACAATAAAAAGAAATAAAAAAGTTAAAAGGAAACATGCCATAAAAAGAATCAGTTGCATGTTATTTGAAGAGAACTTACACTAAATACTAGCTCCTACTACCTCTTGATTTCTAGAGCCTCACTGAAGCTTGAAACTTCCATGGAACAACAAAAAGACATACAGTGGAAACCATATATAACAGGCCCGGTAATAACAGGGATCCGGTATTAACAGGGATTTTTAAAATCCCCTTTTTTTCCTACTCTTTGTCTCTATTAAAAATTATCGGCAATAACAGGGCCTCATCGGAGCCCAACCGGTTATAGCAGGGACAAAGGCTCGTTAACAATGAGTAAAAAGTACGAGAGAGAGAGAGAGAGAGAGAGAAAGAGAGTGATGGAGCAAGCCCATGCAAGCCATGCCACTGCAAGCACACGCAGTGTGTGAAGCGAGAGAGGGCTGCAGTGTGCTGCAGACCTCGATCTAGTCAGAAACCTAGCAACACGTACGCATAATGTGTCACCAACGATGTCAAGCACGAGAGAAAATGCCTTTCAATTGACCAAAAAAATACGCTAAATAATCCAGGCTGTTGACAAAAAGCAAGCTCCACTGGCAGAGGTTTGTCGTCAGTTCGACATTCCACAAGGGTCGATTCACACCATTATCAAGGATAGAGAGAAACTAGTGGCATATACTCCAATGGAAAGTTTGCTCTCGATTGGAAGAAGATGAGACTACCCGATGCAGATGCTGTAGACCAAGCTCTTCTGATGTGGTTTAAGGAGGCAAGGAGAAAGTTGGTGCCAAAACCCATGTTCGTGGGTACTTGTGGTAAAGGAAACTACCCATGAATAAGTACAGCTGGATTAGTCCACAAATGCTTACTTTCCTTGAATTTCTGATTTAACAGGGATCGGATATAACAGGAAATTTTCTCTACTCCCACCATCCCTGTTATATCAGGTCTGAACGGTAATATGCTTAATTCAGCAATACTTGCCCCAGCAGCCGAAGGGCTCGTAAGTTCAAGCTCAGCCTGATGTAAAGCATGTGTCCATGATGCAGCATCACTGGGCCGTGTTTTTGAGCAAGACACGATAACCCAAGCTCAAAAACAGGGCATGGCAATGTAGGAACTAGCAATGTAGAGTGTTTGTAAGATTGCATTGGTGTGATATTATGTATTACGAGGGTGGATTAAAAAATAATGGAAGTTGTGAAGTATCTCAAAATCTTTTCATGCTTTTTATCGTAACGTTTTGCATGTATTATCATTTTAACCAAATTTCTGTTTAGGGATGAAAAATAAAAGTGACATATGTGAGGTGTCGTGGAGAAATCAGGCGCTCGTCAAAATAATGAAATTTTAAAAAACTGGCATTTTCCAGCCAGTTTGGCAATTTTTATAGAATTTTTATTTTTTGGACTCAACACCTTTAATGTCCATTTAAAAATACAGTGTGTGGACTTTACTGAAAAACATTGAATAAAGGCAAAAAAATGTAAAATATAAGTTTCCAAGGACTTTCATGCTATAAAAACCACCGAACTTTGGTGGCCATTTTCTCGCTATTTTTACCTCTGAAACCAGGCGACCCCCATCTCCTTCAACCTCAAATATCTTGACACCTGTTCAAGATAGATGGGCATTTTTTTCACCTAAAGCAAGACAAATTAACAAGCTTTAAGATGATGCCAATAACTCCACATGCCCAAGAACCGACGTGCACCGCGTCATGACATATATATTGTATTCACTCACCCCTTGCTGTTCCCTCTCGCTCTGCCCCAACCAGTCGGCCCCACACGTGCATAGCCTGGATGTCCACCATGGGTCGAGGGAAGTCTCTGAGCGACACTGACCACAGCTTGACGCTGGCACTGACATAGCGGCACCATAGCGTTATAAAGTTGATTGGTTCCTTCGGGAATGGACTAAGAAGAGATTTTTGGTCCATGGAAGGACAAAAACACTTGTTAATACAGTGAGGAATTTTGTAGAGAAAGACAAGAGTAAGTTCCATTTAAGAACAATTCCAGTTTGTGCGCCACAAGCATAGAGTGCATAGCTGGGTATGTGCACAGGTCACTGCAAACATTGAGACAAACATAACCATCACTCAATGCAGTGAAAAGTAAGACAGACAGACAGTCAGCAGACCCTTCCCCTCTCTCTCTCTCACTCTATCTCTTGCTCCCTACAGTTCAGCGACTCCCCCCCAACCATTACCTTGCATTTGAATACCCCTCACCCCAACACTGCCCGTCTCTACTACTACAATCACCTCTCAGAGTCAATGTCCCGCATGTTTTTCAAGACATTCTCCGTGCCGTGGAAAGACCTGTCAGCCAGTGCCGTAATAGTCAAGTCCTCCATGAGCCAGGTAAAGAGCTGTGTGCGGATGGGGGCTGCGTTGTACAGCTGCTGGGATCGCTGAATGTAGATCTCAGAATTCCTCTTGTGCAGGCTGGCAAACAACTCCTCTCTCTTGTTTACTGAAGGAATATACATTCATGCAACATGGTGGTGAAACAATATCCTTGTTGCTCTTGTTGCTGAAGTCATTTCTGATGTTGTTCTAATTATTGTCATTATTGTTGTTCCAACTGTAGTGACCCCAACACTGTGGACAAGGAGTGACAAGGTATTATTGGATCTTCTGTCCGAGCCACACAGGGGTAACCGGCAACGAGAGAGCAGAGAAGCTGGCTGGAGAAGCAAAAGTGGGAGGGAATTTGACACTGAACCCACCAACGGTCCTAACCACAGTAAGGGAAAATTTGAGGAAGAATAGGGCAGATAGCGGTTCCCACACCCTTGGTAGATTGAAGGAGAAGGGGATCCAAAGAGGAGAAGGGAAACACAGCCACCTGTGCAAACCAGTCCGACGGATCTCCAACCAGATTATGATGGAGACTATAAGCAAACAAATTCTGGGATGGATCCTGAAGGGGGGGGGGGGGGGAGAGCAGAGATGGACATGTTCTGACTGTAGTGACCCCAACACTGAGGACAAGGTGTGAAAAGGTATTATTGTTGTTATTAGTATTGTTATTGTTTATGTTGTTGTTGTTGTTGTTGCCATTATTATGGTTATCATTGCTGTTATTGTCATTGTCACAGCTGTTGTTGTGGTTGTTATTGTTGTTGTCATTGTTGTGGTTGGAGTTGCTAATGTTGACATTGTTGCTTTTGCCGAGTTGTAGCCTAAGCCAAGTAATAACAAAAGTAGATGCAATGAAGAGCGGTGTTATGCTCCAACTATGTAACTGGTTTCATGAAAACATTTCATTATGCAAAAAAAAAAAAAAAAAGTTGCTTGATCGAAAGTAATTTCAAGAAAGTGTAATTCAAAGCTAAATGAGATATGGAAAATGTCCATTCTTTTCCTGGAAAGATTTCTCTGAGGATCTACAGAATGACATCAGCAACAGTTTTAGAACACGAAACGAGTTAAACGGTTAGAGTTCAACATTGAGACTTACCTGGAATGAACTGCTTTTTCTGCAGATCCAGAAGTTTAGCGTCCATCACTTCTTTTCTTTTCTTGCTCTCAATGCCTTCATCTTTCAGTAACTGGATGAAGAAAAACCATACCACAGAGCTATAGGTTGATGAGCACTCTAAACATTACTACAGCTCTACAGCGCAGACAAAACTCTAAAAAAATACCTGAAAAATATTAAAGAGACAAACCACCAATGATGGATCAAGAGTGGTAGAAAATTGTAAAAGAGTGTGGGAAATTTATCAAGATTAATGTCTCCAAGTATCTGCTGATGTAAAATCCCAGAGAAACATTTGAGTTCATTTTGGAGATGGGCTACTTTAATCCTGCCTGTACAGGCCATCCTGTACACTGTGGGATGGTGTGTCCCACAAAGAGATGAAGATAATCAATTAAATAGCTTACCAAAATAGGAATTGAACTTATGTCTTTTGCATGCATGACTGACAGTAAGCCTCAATCACTACATCACATCACAGATGCCAAAATATTGTGCCAAACTGTTGATGAAATTATCTGACATCCTCAAACCAGCTGCTACAGAAACTGATCGACAATATATCTGACAAAATAACCAATGAGATACTTACTTCATAGTTTAATCCCATCTTCACCTCAAAGGGATCGTCACTCAGCTCAATAGAAAGCATCTGAAAGAGAACAAAAAACCAAGAGCAAATTGAAACCTTTTTAATGATGAACAGATTGACCAAAAGGGTAAGTTGAATTCAACTGAGAATGTTTTGAAACGTTATGATAACATTCCAAAACCTTCTCAGTTTCATGAGAAACGTTCAACAAAACCTTTTGGTCTAGCATGTCTGGGTTAGTATAAAATAAAAAGCATTCAGAGCATACCTAATTGTAGGAACATTGCTGTACAAATAGAAACTATTATTCTATTCTCAGTATTAGTATTATTATTATTACTATTAATAGAAAATATTCCTGAGGCAAGAAAAATTGTTGCTTGGGACTTTGCTGCACCAATAGAATTTCCTCTTTTCTACGTGTTCTTTATAAATGCAACCTGTTATTGTTATTTATTATTCATATTATTAATATCATTATTACTCTTATCTTTTTAAATATTATCAATATTATAGCTTTTTTAATAATTATTTTGTAGTTATAACAGTTTCCTAATCAGTGAGATCGGTTGCATATGCCCAAGAAATATTTTGTTGAAATTTAAATTCAAAATGTTGAAAAAAGCAAGTAAAAATGTATAATGCAGGTACAATAGCTTAAAGAATGAAACATTTGTTTTTTTCTGTCCTGAAAAATGCTTCTTTCTTGGGGCAGAACATTTTAAAAGCTTGCCGGTGATAAATAGTTTTGTTCTGAGCACTTAAACTGTTCAAGGAAACTACTTACCTTAACTTGGGTGTTCAGATCAGGGGGAGTTTACCTGGAACTTGATGTTTAATTCAGGAATATATACCTTGATGTCAGAAAACTTACTTTGACCTGAATTGTCAGGTCTGGGAACTTATTTTGACCTCAATGTTCAGGTCAGGGAACTTCCCTTATCTTCTGAGCTCAGGGTCAGGAAAACTTACCTTGACCTTAGTACTTAGGTCAGGAAACCTACCTTGACCTCAAGAATGTTCACAGGTCAGTGGGATTAACCATGACCTTAGCATTCAGGTCAACTGAATAAGTCTTGACCATAGTGACCAGAACAAGATGGACAACTTACCTTGACCTTGATGTTTAGATCAGGGGGTAAGGGACTGTCCACAGTGAAAGCTTTCTTCTTGACTTTGTGCACCAGCTTCAGCCACTTGACCGCGTTCATCACCTGGGAGCACAAACAGAGCTAGTTCTACGACATAGAGAGAAAGGTTGTGAAGTCAAAAGAAAACCGTAAGTTCTGTGACACAATAGCAAAGTGAGTTCAGGTTCACAATAATATCTAGCATATGTTGATAACTTCCTCTTCATTCTGGCAATTGACTGGCTGATGCATAAAAAGAAACTGTTGGATTGGAATCCCCAGGGTAAGAGATCAAGGAGAAGGCCATGTGGAACCTGGATAAGAGTCACAGAGAGTGACAAACAGAAAAGTGAGAAGAAATGGAATAATTATAAGAGGCTAGCCCTCGATAGAGAAAGGTGGGAAGTGGTTGTTTGTGGCTAATACTCTGATCCAGGGTGAGAAAGGCATTAATGATGACAAGTTGATGACACAGATTTTCAGTTGGGGGTGTGTTATTGAGCAATAGGCTATAACCCAAACTCAGAAACTGCCTCTACACAGTGGAGACCTGGAATATAAGATTGGTAAAATAGTTTGTGTTTTATGCTGTTAAGTTGGTGAATTATTGAATAAACATATGAATTGTACTTAACAACGTAAACCCAATTTCCCCATGGAATCAATGAAAACACTACTTTATTTATTTTTGAAAATTCGTCTAAATTATTAAACATTTTGGAGAAAAACAAACACTGCATCTCAAGATTGCTTTAAATAATTATATGTGGTTGATTTTTTATTTCCCACTAATAAATGTCAAATGGTCTACACTCAAGGAATCAAGTCTAAAATCCAAATCCAAGATACAGGTCTCACTATCTTTTGCAAAATATCACAGTACAACAGAAACACAACTTTAGTACAAACCTCTTCATAGCAGGCAGCAAAGTTGTACTGGTAAGGGAACACGATGTCTATGCTTTCAAATGACACGCCCCTGAGAAAGCAAAAAAAGGAGAATGAGAATTGTACAATTTTTAAAAAATGGCCATAATACATTTAAAAAAATTTTTGTTTTGAAAAATACAAAACAATCCATCCACACTTTCAAGGAAAATATCAATGATGATATTGAATTTGAGAGTCCAAGTGTAATAATTAATAGACTCAATGTCATGACGAAGATTACCAGCAATAAAAAAACATCAGAAACAAATCAAAATTATCAGAACTATGTGAATAACACACAATTGTAAAAGCAATCATGTTCACTCCAGAAACCAAACAATTTTATACCTATATTTGAGCTATTTCTTAAATGTTACATTTATATTTTACACAGGCATTTCATTCTGCTTGACAAATTCTTCAATTCAATATTTACAGAAGGCTACAAATGGTATAAACTACACCATAAAATTTTAATATTTAGGATTAATATTCCTCTGGCGACACTTTACTCTTTTGCCACAGGCATAAACGCTCAAAGTTGATCAGTCATCTGTATGACTTTGACGAAAGGGAGACCAGACAGATGATCATGTCTTTCAGACCTGTATAAAACACCTTAAAGTAAGCAAAGAGGTTTTGGTGTGCCCTTGTGTCTCTCCAGGAATAATTGTTTGGGCTAGAAGACATATTGCAAGAGGACTGCCAAAATTGTAGGTGAAGTTGGCCCCCAGGTGTTTTTCAAAAAGATGAATGTAGGGGTTTTAAGTAGTATTGACACAAGCCTTCATGTTTTTTATTAAATAATATGAGTAAATGTAGTTGCTGTATGCCCCGTCAACACAAGTTTCCGGGTGTAAAGGCATACAAAAAAAAAGGAAATACTTTCTTGCACATGATAAGTTCCAGAAGTATGTCAACACAAACTGTGAACATACCACGCTTTGTTTGTCTGATCCTCCAAAATTTTGGCCTGTGCACGCTCTGACTTGAGGACAGATGCTGGGAGGGTCTCCAGTTGAAACCCCTGCAGAGGTCGAGGGAAAAATATATATAAGGTATACAAGCCTTCACTGTCATAATTGTCATTATCCTTTGATAAAAATGACTATTAACTCACTTAAGTCAGGTCACACAACAGTTGCGTGACCCCCGCCGCGACGCTCGCAACGGGTCTCACAAGCCCTGCGTGACCAACTTTGGAATTTTTTTTCCGCTCTACAAATCACGCACGGATCGCGAGACCCGCCTCGTACCCTTGTTTGGCCAAGCCTGAGCTACTTAGACTTCGTTTCGTATCTCTGGGGCTGGTAGTTTTTAAGTTATTGAAGGTGAAGGACAGTAACCCCAACTGGGGTTGAACAGACCGGAACTCGCGCTTTGTTTTTTTCTATACAGCTCATAGTAATCCGACAGTCGCGTCGTAGTAACGGTCGAAGAAGTCGCATGTACAAGAATCACATAATTTCGCCGTTTTCTATACTTCTGTACGTTTTACTAGTTCTAGTGTCTCAGAATATGATGAGTTTAATAGTTAGGATCCTGGATATGTACCCGAACATGGCCCGAGTCGTAGTTCTAGGGCTAGATCTAGCACTAGTACCGGTGTTGTTTTTCGCGCAACGAAATCACAACGTCGTGCCGTACATCTGTCTCATGTAATTCAGTGTATGGGTCTGAATCAATGCACAGACCAGCTTTTATATTTTCACCAAACACTCGCACATGTATACAAATCAAACCAGAACACTTTGAACTTTTATTTTTGTTGTTGCAGTGAATTTCATTCTACTTGTCACGTCTTTGGAAATTTTTCGGAAAATCAAATTCATGCCAATTTTTAAAAAATCATACAAATTAAAGTATTAGACTTAGACAACTTTAGTTTTTTGTATTAAATTAAGCTTGAATGTTACTTTACTGTGTCAAAAAATGATTACAATAGGGTAATTCTGAGAGTTGTGGTGATTTATTGAAATACCCCCAAAAACGCCACTCTTCAACGCTTGTGACTGGTGAAAGGGCCCAGTCGCAAGTGAGTTAACAGGTAGTGGATGCTACAGAAGTGATCTTAGTTGTTAGTAAGATTTTATGGCACAAGCAACACGATGACATCACATACATGCTGAAGATTAGATGGGTTACTAGAAAGTAACATACAAACAGAAGGGGGAGAGATAAGAACTATAGAGGTTTGACAGGAAATAAAGAGCAAACCACACCAAAGCATCTGCCAACCACCCACAAAGTGATCTTTATAATTACTATAATTAATACATATACTGAACTATGTAAGTAAAAAAAAATTTACAGGAGTTTGAGTTTGTCAGCTTTCAAAAGGGAAGCATTGTGAGCACAATTGTTTGGGGTCAAGTGCTAGATTTACACTACTGCATGGTTTTCCAATCACATGACCAATTTGCAACAAAGGCACTGAAATACTTACAGTTATGCTGAAAATACTGTGGCCATCACATTTGATATTGAAGTCCTTGACCTCCATTAGAATGTCAGGCAAGGTCATGGTCACAAGGAGGTTCTGAGTGTACACTGACAGCCTGAGAAATAAACATATTTTTCTCCATTTTTCAAACATAATACTTCTGTGCGGACACGTTTCACTGCAAGAAAATTGTTTTTATAACAAGACAACAAAAGTGTACATTGCCTTTGAAAAATTGTTAGCACATCCTTAGCACAGTTGGTATTATACAGGGTTGTGGTGCATATGGCTATGGTTCAAATCCCCAATGAGATGCTCTTGAACTTGGTTGTTTATAATAGTTTTCATAGCTCTCAACCCATTTGGCTTTATCCTACTAGTCATGACCTTCAATTCGGAAGTCTGGCTTTTTAAACGACCACATTGTGTTAAAAGGGGTGTTAAACCAATACAAACAGGACATTTTTATTAAAAGTTGTTGAATCACTTATCTTACAAAACTTAGTATGCACTTATGAAAACAAAATCAAGATCAGTCGTTCTTGAACATTCTATCCTTCTAGGGCCAACCAACACCATTCTGAAATAACTCAAATTGTGCCAAAAGGAGCAGTAGCCTAAAACTAAACCCAAACTTGTATTCTTGCATTACTCACGTGTGTTGTCTGGACAACTTGGCCTCAAAACTGATGTCAGCCAGCATTAGGATGTTGATGGATACAGACGATTTGCTGCTAGCTGGTGGGTCAGAAGAAGGGGAGGGACCTTGCCCAGGTGGGCTGGTGCCAGTTGCCTCTGAAAGGGACAACACATCATAATAACAACATCCATTTAAAAAAAAATTATAAATGGATAATAAAACATGCCTTCAAGAGGGACGTGACCTCAGCAGAGATTTTACTTCATATGAATTGAATTTGCATTGCTTCCTAATCCATGTTTGTTCCACTTCTTGATTTATCTCTAATCATTAATCATATTATATTAGGTTTACTTACTTTTTATTAATTTTTACCCTTCACAGTTACGGTTATTTTTGAAAGAACACAACTCCTTCAGTCAGCCCTCTCCATTTATCAGCTTTTTGCACTTGACACAATCAGAAATCTACACTTACCAGCTTCCAGCATCCTGAAACAATCAGACATGTATCAGCTTCACGTATAATGACACACTAAGACACTTCGCTACCTTAGAATTACTAAGTTCTATCTGACATTTTTGGCTATTTTGATTTACTAAAACCTATAAGTCAGAAACCAAAAGTTCTATTTGTTCTATCAAAATCGTAGGATTATACGGAGTCATTATCAAAATATTCAAAGAATTGCATTCCAAAAAGCTTTACATGTTGTGGAACAAATTTTTTTACATTAAATTTCTCAAAACTGGGTACTGTTGTAATTTTAAGGTAGCGACTTACCAGCTTCAGGCACCATGATACGCGTGTGCAGAGCACGGGCATCCTGTAGGCCACTGATGAGACAAAGATGGACCTCCGGAGTCCAGCGGACGTTCAGGTTCTGAAGAATGTGGACGCGGCACTCCTAGAAGATGGACAAAAAGTAAGGAAATATTGAATGAGAAAAGATCAAATTAAATATATTTTCTTAATCCTCCATCGGAAGAAATTCAGGGCTTTCATAAAATATACATGTAAAAAAGCACGAAAGGAAGCTTATCAAGTATATCTCCCTGCTGTTATGCTTTATCTCTTTCAGCCCAAGTTGGTCCCAACAAGTAAAACTGATGCATTCCACCTCCAAAATGCCCAAAACGATCTAAATTGTGTCATGATGCATAAAACATTTACAATCATCTAAAATTAATCATCCCTGGCTTCTTGTCCGCAACACTCCCCCAATTTTTGTAAATGATCAGCTGATGAAATGATGTCAGGACATTTCCATAGGTGTCAGCTTCTCAGTTCTGTGAGACTGAAAACCTGTAAAAGAAGTAATCTCACCTTGTTGGCAGGAGAGTACTTGACCTTGATTTGATGAACATGGGCAACTGGCTCTGGAATATCCGTGGAACGTTTGAGGGGAAAGTACTGCACCAGAGAGGGGAGGAAAGAAAGAGAGAGAAAAGATAAATTAACACATCCTCTTTAGTCGTGAAATTTACAGCACTACAAGATAACATTACCACTCAAACAATAATGAATAATGTCAAACAGTACTAAACCACTGGGAAGAAAAGCATGACCACAGAATAATCTTTGCTTTTACAAGGAAAATGAGTTAAGTTCAATGATTTTTTTGCCCATGCTTAGTAGCAGGGTCAAACAGGGGTAAGAAAATTCCCTTGACAGCAATAAGTACTGCATAACATAGATAGGACAATTGACTTCACATTTGAGGTTTTCCCCCATTTTCAATACAGTTTCTGTCCTTACAGAGAGAAGATCTTCAAGCCATTTTCATTTCTGATAGGAAGGGATAGCGGGTCAAAAAAACTTTAAACAAATTAAGTATAGCAGTCCATTACCTTGCGAACTGAACAAATAATACACTCACAAAACATCAGACAGAATGAACAGTAGTCAGCCCCTCTAAGCGTTAGTTTTCAAAACAGTAACAATTTATATAAGTACGAGGGTCAATTTCTTAGAAATGATATTTCAGACAACATGTTAACTTGTTCACAGGTAATATTGTACATTGACCCTCTTGTTTACAGGTATTATTGAATTAGTCACAACTGGAAGTATAATTACATAAGTGTAAAGCTAACAAGAGTCTTATCCACACAATGGTTTGGTACATCGCCGAAAAAACTGAAGCAGATGAATCATGAACATAATATAGAATCAACCAAAACAGAAGTGCTTTAATCGACTAAAAGGCGTACAAGCTCATAAGATTGACAAATATAAATCCATCCAACCATTGCCCAGAAGAAAAGTGGTCATCTTAGACAGGTGGTCCTCCTGGACACTGCCATTATAATATTTTTAAAACCCAAGGGGAAAAGTGGGAAATAGTTGCTTGTCTTGGACAGGTGGTCACTGAAGCAGGTTCAACTGAGTATAATACAGCCTTTTCCAGAAATATTTATGGTTGTAAAACTACCTACCATGAATAAGAAACACCTGCAAAATATTACAAAATTGTTAAAGTTTGATAAAAACTGAAAACATTGCTTGAAGTTGAAGAATTACTATAGAACATTTTTTGCTACCTGTTTATCACAGATAATATATTGAACTTTGGTTCCATCTACAGTCAGGATGCTCTGTGATGGGCTGTGCTGGACAGCAACACTGTCCACTCGTAGCATGACGCTGGCTGGAACCGAAAAAGACCATAAGTCATTGAACTTTTTGCAAGTACAAGATTAACAATCTAACAAGACACAAATAGACAATTTTGAATGAGGTGGGATCCTCTCAGTGTGGACTTCCAGGTGTCTTTTTACTGCTGTTACAACTGCTAGACTGAGCCTTTATTCAATACATAATCATACGTAGAAGTGTGAAGATATAGTAATTACTGAAAAAAAGAAGCTTTTTGTTTGAGTTGAGAGAAGCACAATGATGATCCTTAAGTGTGGAGAAAAGCAAGACAGACAGAGAGAAAAAAAGGGATAGTAAAGAAAAAGGATCTACCAGTTGTACTCTGCATCCATCTTTGAAAAGATGCTGCCCATACAATCCAGACATAGTAATGCAGAAGAGCACTTCACCAAAGGGGGAGCTATGCCCTTTGCTGATATAACAGCTGATTATCAAACATCCCTCCTCCTTGTACTACATGGAAATTACAGTTTGGTCAAGGTAAACAAAAGACTGGGTGACCAAAAATTTATCACCAAAAACCCCCCCGAAGCCTATCACCATCCTTGAGATATAATTGTAAATTATAGAAACAAAATAATGTTTGAGAGACATTTTATAGTTCTCCCTCTATAAATCCCTTAATTTCACTTTTGATTTTTTTTTTAGCTCTGCTGGACTCACAACCATAAGTCATAGATTCAAATCCTGATCTGGATCAGATGTTGTAATCCTGGGGCATTGTACATGAACTTCCCTCATGTCACCCATGAGAGAATGGTTACCCGCCTTAATACAGCGAAAGATCATGTCAGCTTGTTAGAGTTTGAACTCCTGTAAACTGGCTGTGTGCACTAACTCTTTCAGAAAGCTGACAGTTTTGGAATGTTTCAGAGTCTGTTGGGGTAACAATGAATTGTAAAGCACATAGAACCTAAGATATGTGCTAAATGACTGCAATTTACTTTAATAATTGTTTATCTTTATTCTAATTTATTATTTATATTCAAATTACAACATATATCATGAATGTAAAATATCATTATTATTAACATACAACCAAGCGGAATAGAACAGGGCTCACCTCCGACGCTATTTGTGACAAATACATTGATGTTGGAAACGTCAAATTTCACGGTGTGGAATGCCCTCCTCTCCTCCAGCAGCCTCGGTGGCACTGCATCCTCCGCCGATGATTGAGCCGAACCGCTGTGTCCCATTTGGCTCCCCGCAGCAGGAAGTGGCCATGTTTTACGCAGTGTGCTCAGCAGAAGTGTGAGGGCGTTGTGGAGAGCAGATGACCACTCAAGCTGAATATTGTCCTTCATGCCTTCCACTTTGAGGTCTGTGCCAAATTTCTTCACCTTCATGGCAAATAGTCAGACAGAAGAATAAATCATGGTCAGACAAGAACAAATCATGGCTAGACAGAAAAACAGAACAAAGTATTCTTTTTTCTTAATTGACAAAATTTGGAGGTATTGTCCCTTCATTACACAACCTTGCTGTGTTGAAAAGGGTGTTAAACCCATACAACAATATAGCAACTGAACTTACATTTATGGGGGAAAAAAACCATCACACAAATACAAAATAGACAGGAGTGTGCTGGTATTTAAAACACTAAAACAAAAATGTTGGCTGCTAATACAAAGCTATATTGGTCAGCAAGTTAGAAAAAGGGACATTTCAGGGATAATCAAAAGAACAAAACAATTTGCAGTTTTCCCTCCACATCAACATAAAAAAATTGAAAGGAAAAAAGATTTTTCATATTCAGCAACCCTGCAAAAAAACAACAAGAACAACAAAACTTATATATGTAATTACCTTCATGAGCAAAATTCCCAGGTATAGTATCTGCCCCCAGTAGTGCTTGCGACCAGAGGGCAGCTCGCCTGTTGGTTTAGCATCCACAAGCCAGCAGCCGACAGACTGAATGTCTACTTCACAGCTAGCGTTGTACGAGCTAAACCATTCAGCACCTTCCGCAGCAGCTGGTGGGCAGTACGAAAAACATATGAGCTCCATTTTGTTTCAAGTAAATCATCACCATGAAATATTGAAACTTATTTTTACACTCTTTCTCCGACTCCACCATTCTCTTTCTTTTTTGTTTAGTCACTTTCTTGGTCACATAAAAAACAACAAAGATTCCAAGACAGGTAAGAAATGTGGCACCTCTAAATCTTGGCTTCAGCAGAGTCCCAACAGAGGCTTATACGAGGTGAACATTTAGATTCCTTCCTTCCCTCTGTCACTTTCTCTTTGTATCCACCCTCCTCTCTTTGTCTCTCTTTCTTATTCTTGATCTCCCTTTTTTACTCTCTGTCTCTCTTTTCCACATTAAGCTGTACAAGTTGGGTATGCATATCTTTCTGTCCGTCTCTCTCTCTACCCCTCCCCCCCTCTCTTCCTCCCTCTTCCTTGAGAATAGCAATGGACCTTAGTCAGTGTGAGTCGTTGCACATCCATTTCTCTCTGTCTATGTCACTATTTATCCTTCCCTCTTTCCCTATCCATCCCTCTTTCACTCTCCCACTCACCTCCAGACCCTGGCTTGAGCGTGGCATGGACCTTGGCCTGTGTGAGTTGTGCGTGGAGCCCAGTGCATGCGGCAGACGAGACTGTGGAGGAGAGGTCAGTGACCTCAACCACTGTAGAGAAGTTACGACCGGCCATCCATGACAGCAAGGTTGGACTGGAAAACAAGAAAAGTTGTTGAGAGATAGCTAAACAAAAACGATAAGTGAGAAAGAGAAGACGTCTGACCTACCAGGAGGCTCCCTCCAGCCATCCACTGCAATCCCACTGGCCAGGCAAAGTTAAGCAAATCCCAGCACAAAACTATCCAGCACAAAACTATCCAGCACAAAAAGTTAACAGCATTGGCACCTCAAAAATATATGGCTGTTTGGAAGGAAAGGGACCCTTATTTGACATGGAAAATGGACTCGAAATATATGTAAAAATCAATTGTATCATGGATGGAAGAACCTACAGCTGATCACCTTTGAGACATACGTGTATTTTAGTTCAGTTTGAGTACAGAAAAGCACGTCTACACACTGATGGTCATTTGGTGCTGGTTAAAAAGACAGGACCATACAAAACCAAATCAGAATGAACAATCAGATCATATATGATCCGACTGTACTCACCTTGGTACAGACTTCGTTCTTTTCAGCCTCAACGGCCGCCTGGGTCTCTCCCGTGTGGTGCGCCGGTGGAGCCGGAATATGTTGGAGAAGACAGACAACCAGTACTGCACCTCCTCGTGGTGGTAGTGGAAAAAACCCGAGGTGACCGTCAGGAACAAGTCGACAGAGTCACGGAGCAGCTGGTCGAGGAACACAAGAAAAACCTCAGTCAATTGATTATAAAATGTTTTATGCCCTCATCGACATAATTTACGTTTGTTTTAGTAAAGAGTTTTATGCAATTGCAACACAATTATGTCATGTAAGTGCCAAAGATACGAGGTGTTACAAGAGAGTAACAAACGCTAAAAAGGAGGAGAGATAAGAAAAACAGGTATTTGATGATAGAAAGAACAAACTACACCATAGCAGCCGCCAACTACCCACCACCAAGTCCATTCCAAAGTTGGCTTTGATACAGCACCCCCAGCAAGCAGACTTTGAGAATCGAATAAATAACTTTGCCACATAGGAATCGAAGTCATCTCTTTTATGTGCAACAGCAACTAGCCTAACCACTTCAACACACACACAAGGGCACTGTGTCTACATTGTACGGACTTCATGTATCTCTCTAGAAGATTGTGTATATATTTACTGATATCTGAGACATCTTTACCTCTTTCAGTTTCATGCTGGATGATGATACAGGTGACCCTGGCTTAAAATCCTTAAAGAACATTCTTGAAGTTTGATTGTAATGGGAGTTTTCATAATATTGATAAATTTTATATCATAGTAATAATAATTTTAGTAATAATGATAATAATGATAACGGTAACAATAATACTTATAATTAAATTGTTTGCACTTCTACAGCCCATAAGGAAAAGTGTTCACTGTGCTGAGCAACAAAAACAACACTACAAGAACCTACAAATTTATTCATTAAAATAATAGCTTTATTGGACACAAAATTTAAATAGTACGCAGAAGCATTTGCTGGTCAAAAGTAGCCAAACATCGAATCAACACTAAATGTATGATGATTTGTACCAGTAACAAAAAGAAATATGGTAAAAGAAATACTGTGAACTTACTTGTCCTTTTGCTCCCACTTTTGACACCCCAGCAAAATTGGCTTGCATAGAACTGGTACTAAATTCTGGTGAGAACGACAAATCAAAAGTTTGCATTTGAGAATTTGAGTAAAAAGCAGAATACTGACTCTACAACAACCCTCTGGTGTATGGAAAATGTGAGACAGACAAACACAAACTACATACGGGAAAAAAAAAGAAATAGGACTGACAAGTAGCATCCGCCAACCACCCACAAAATCAAGATGATAAGCGGTCAAAAGACAAGACAGAAAAAAAAATCAGATGAACTGAGACTAAAGAATACAAGCTCACATATACAAGTCCTAAATACAAGCTCAAATATACAAGTCCTAAATACAACTCCATGAGTTTAATTATTAAATGTTATATCAGGCAAATCAAAAGACCAAAAAAAAAAGGGAAATGAATCATCATTCATCTTTCAAACAGAAATGCTAGATTAGTATACTTACTTATACAATATACACATTTTTTAAAACCAAATAATAATCTACTTCATACTTAGAAAGCTTCAGGATTAAACAATGCTTCGTATAACCTTTCATAGTTTGTGTAAAACTTTAAAAAGCGCGTGACACAAAGTAACAGATTACATAAACATTTTCATTGCAACCAGATTGAGTCCATTTAGAGTACTGGCGACGGCCAAAAATGATAATTAAAATCCTTCAGAATTTTGGCATGCACCAAGATGGAAGGACGAGTCTACTTTTAACAATTACACATCACTGGCTAAGTGTCAAACACTTCTGTGTCCAGTCGAGTTACAACTTTCACAACTTACATCAACTTATGAGAAAGCATTTTAGAATGACACTAACCTTCCATGTAGATGTTCCAGTTCACATCTGTGGCTTGTAGAAAGGAATGGTTGTGAAAACCCATGTGGAATAGTTTCAATGAAACAGCTAAACTCCTGAGAGATAAAAATAAAATTGGCACCACATAAATATGTTGCTTTGCTTCGCCCTTCAAGACCTAACATTAACACCAAACTCTAAGGAACAACCGCAGCAAACCTGCACTTATCAGTACATGGCATTGGACAGATAGGTGGTAGCGATTGGTAAAAACAACAACGTCATCTATATGTAGTGTCTTATGAAAAAGGATAACATCAGACAAAATAGAGACACTCACTATCATATTTATGCATTTTATTCCATGCGAAAATGGACAAAATCACATTTTACAGAGATACTCAAAATCCTACATGCATATAAATATACATATGATGCTGTGCCTCATCATGATACCAAAGAAGCTAACAGTACACCTTGTCTTGTCAAGAAGTATCATGAGCAAAAAAGATAACCAAGCCTTTTAACTGCCAGCTTTTACAACATAGCAGTAAAAAGGAAAAGAGTCGTGTAGAGTCTCATTTTATCTTATTTCAAATTCTACAATTAAAAATCCCCATTTTGCTAGTATGTCCAATAAACTGGGTCCTCCTCAGGTAAACGTATTGATGGTAACAGCCACAAATCATAAAAGTCTGAAATGACTTCTTTCAAGGAAAACAGCATGCAAGTTGTCAAGTGAGCTAGAAAATAGACACAGACATTTTGGGCCGATGTCGCATTTTGTAAATTTTACTCAGTAAATTTGCAAATATTAACACATGATGCATAAGGAGTTCCAATTATCTTTCCAGACAAAAGTAAAACTTGACCTAATTTCAGACTTGTGCAGTTTACGACACTTACTGTCAATAGGCATAGCATACCTTTGTTTTGTTTCTCGTACGATTTTTACGTCCAGGTCTGATATATCAAAGCTGACAATTTGCTGGGGAAAAAAATGAGAAATTATTGCTCTGCCAAAAACATCTTCAAACTTAACCCACTAAACATTGTTCAAGAAAATGAGCCTCAGACAAAAACTTAAAATGTATATGCAAAGGCATAGAAATGTACTGGTTAACATAAGCTTGCATATCTTGAGAGAAAGCGACTACCTGGAAGCAAATATGTACGAAAACCTTTAAGCAGGTGCAGAAAATTATAGGAGGTACCATTTAAAATTGGTCTAGTTTTTTTGTTTTTTTTAATCCTGACATCTTTATATCATAATCTAAAAACATATCGGTCAAATACTATTCTAAATATTTTTTCCAAATAAGTTTAAGGACAGAGGACATATTTAGCTAAAATTTGACAATGTTTCCGCCAGGGGACAGACACTTTTTTTTCACACAAACAAGCCACTGTAACATACCAAACAAAATGGAACTTCAATGCCTTTCCCAAAAATCCATATAGTATGAATACTTTAGCAACACAAAGAGATGGAGTGTGCATCTTTCTATTCACTATTTATGTAGCCTCATCCTGGATTATCTTAAAAGCCAGCTTCTCAAAACCTATCATCATTCAGACTTTGCCTATGGAAAGAAGATAACTGCTCCAATGTCTCTAAAATAAAGGGTAAAATGCTACCCAAAAAAATATTTTTAAAAAGCACCCAAAAAATAAACCCAAATCTTTCAAGATATGCAAAAAAGTCACGTTTCAAACATGAGCAGTTTTCTGAGGAACATAATATTTAGGGCGAAGGTGCTTGTAGTTTTCAAAACATAAACAGTTATAATGCAAAGAATCTCAACCGTTCAACGACAAAATTAAAAAAAAATAAACAAACATAAGCCCTTAATTCAAAACCCTAAACAAAAAATGATTAATGAATCATGACTTATAAAGCAACATGCTCTTTCATCAGAAAAATAGGGAACTATATTTTCTTCCAACATAATGATGCTTTTTTGTGTGACCTGCCCATTCCTATAAATTGGTGCTTTCGTGTTTAGCAGTTCTGACAAAATGTACAATGTTTTAGATTTTAAAATTAACTGTAAGTGAAAAAAACAAACAAGAAATGCTGTTTGTCCAATATATTGATTTATTTCATGTTCTGCAATAAACAATCTGACAAATAAAATTGATGAACAAAGAATTTGTTAACTTTTCATGATCTTTCTTCTGCATTTTAAAAATTAATTTCTGACTGAAGCCGAAAAAGGATATTGAATGGTTCGTACATAATAATAATAATAATACATAGCATTTGTATAGCGCAAAACCCCACTCAACAGTAAGCTCTATGTGCTTCACAATTCATACATTTACCCCAGCAGACCTGAAAGCATTCTGAAACAATCTCAACTTCCTGGGAAGCATACAGGGCAAGCGGCCATTTATAGGCACTAAAACACTAACATACTGACAAGATCTTTCACTGTCTATTGCTGTGTACCCATTTCCATCTGGGTGATGTGAGGAAAATTTTTGTAAAGTGCCTTTCCCAAGGACACAACGTCGGGACAGCGGCTTGAACCCCCGAACAGGCAACCTCACGATTACCAGTCTGGTAGCTTAACCACAAGGCCACCGATGCCACATGAATTAATTACCACTCTTAGTCTTTATCTCTCTTTATTCAAAGAATAAATACTTTTATTAGATCATCCATTTTACATTTCTGACAGTCTTGAATCTTTCACTTTCCATTTCTGAAGCAATATCTCTAATACTCTCAGCCTCGTCTCCTTTGTGGTTGTCAAATTTAAAACCCAGTGATATCACATGATTTCCCCCTTTTTTTCCCAGGACCAAAAGGGTGGTACAAGTTATGAACTTACCAACTTCTCAAACAGTTTCAGCTTTGAAAACATGGTGTCATTGGGCCAGTGTTCGTATCTCTGACCAAATTCAGCTTCGGGGTCAGCTGCAAAGGTTGCTGCAGGCTGAATGGTTTCCATGGTAACATCAACAAGGCTGAGGCGGCGATGATCTATCATTTGCAAATTCTGAAGGAAACCTGAAAACATCCATTGTCTACTTTTTTAAGGATGTGAAATGATTTACCAATTCCAGTTCTATATAGGATGTAATTACATTATTTTCTTTAATATTACGCGGGCACAAGGCAATTGTAAATAACAAACATTCCCTACCAACCGATAGTGGGTACTCCGTAGTCCAGCATGACACCAACTGAGCTACAGGATAGCCACTTTTATTGACCAAGTGGTAAAACCAGTAAATTCTTTGCCATATCGACAGACTGAAGGGCCAGAACCCAAATGGCCGCTGGATCGGAAAAGTAAAGTATTGATCATGTGGGGAAATTTGGTATACATTAACTCTTTATCTCCGGTAAGCCGCTTCCAGCAACACCCGGTCGGAACCACTGGCAGCGGCTCGGGCATATTCCTTTACGACGTCTTCAACAATAATTTTTTGGGGGGCTGTTGCAAAAAACAGGTCTCTTTAGCCAAGAGTTCATTCAAAAGATCAAAAACTATCGAAATAAATTCACTTGTTTTGATTTAATGACCAATTTAGTGGCGAATATGTAAATTTTAGATTTCGTACCAGAAGAGGGCCCCAGGATAGTGGGTTTACCCTCTTCGGAGATAAAGAGTTAAGGTGCGTAACACATAAATACATACAAGAATTAAAATGTTACATCAACATCACCATAAGACACAACATCGCGATACAGACAATGCAAACACACCATCACTGGTCACCACAATACTGCCCCCATCCTGATTTTTTCAAATCACTGTATCACTTATAACAAACACTGTAGAAATCTGAAACTCACCTTCTGTGATCATCATCTGTGGTTTGGCTATTACAGTTTTCAAGTCCTGCAAAAGAGTAAGAGTTCTGCACGTAAACAGACCTGTGTAAGGAAATTGATAAATAAGTGACATTTTTACAAACCTAGTATCATCAGTGCCGTATAAAAAAAAGAGCTATCACATAAGGTGTTCTCACTCTTAACCCTTCTCACCAGGTTTTGTTGGATTATAACCAAACTTTCTAAATGTTCTCAGAAAAAGTATAAAGATAATGAGAAAAGTTAATTCATCTATTAATTGTTCGTGAGAAGAATGCGTGCCTGAAGAAACAAAATTGGAAGTGAACTTTTTAACATAAACTAAGTCAATTGATTTTGATTTGTTCGTGAATCAGAGACAGCACTATAAATTCATGGAGATAAATTCATGCAATTTACCATTAAAAATAAGAAATATAAATCTGTATGTATAGTATGGGGTTTTATGGCGCTCCCAACAGCATAAGGTCATATGAGTGCATGAAACACAAGTTAGTTTTATTCGCAGTTCACTGTACGGCTGGGTTCGGGTCATTTGATCTTAAAACGTTAAAATATTTAAAATTTGGTGTAAATATATATTTTCAATCTAAAACAACTTTCATAAAAATTTTTAATAATTCAATTTTGTTCTACAATTTCCCATAAAGGCCAATGACCTTCATAAAATCCCAAATTCTGTTGGGACCAACGACGGAAAAAATGTCTTGCAATTTTTTGCATTTAAAGTATTTCCTTCAGATCTCTCCGAAGTCTAGACATTCGGTTAAAATGTGTCTTATGGTAAAATCTGTGTCGCATCCGACACAGAACGGCTTCTCGTCTCCCTGAACCAAGTATTTGTGTGTTCGGGCCGTGGGTCCGATGCATAATCGAGTAAAAATGAAGGATTTCGTGGTCCCAGTTTGGGTTTGATATTGTGGAGTTTGTTACCTGTCTGTTTTTTCCAGTGGCTCTCCCACAGACTGGAGGTGAACTTTTTTACTTTATTTTTAAAGTTAGTCTGTGGGAGATAAAAATCTGTCTGTCAACTAAATCTTTATCTCATAAAAAATGACACACAGTATTAGTCTTACCCTCACTGGAAAGAAAAACCCTAAAAAACCTAAAAAATCCCAACACAATGAATCTCCATCTCAAATAAATCAACCAAAATAAAACACACTTTCCTTTGTCTGGAAAGTAACCTCCACCCAATCTGCTAGTATTTTCCACTTATTCCCTCCTTATATTTGTGTCCACTGACCACAAGTTTCACTGGATCTGCCTTGTCAACCTTAGCGTCCAGTTTGAAGGCAAATGAGAACTCTGCCAAACAATTCTGTTGTCCCATGGACTCCTGAAATAAAAAGGGAGGAGGGGGAAAGAAACCTTCAAGTCGTAATACATTGAACTTGAAAAACAAAAGAAACTTAACTTGATATGAAGACTCAAGGGGGAAAAAACCCCTAAATAACCCATTTTTAAAGAAGTGGAGCAAATTGAAATTCAAAGTGTGAAAGTCAGTATCTCATAGTCAGTATAGCTTTTCTTTTACTTTACACAGCACAAGACATAGCCCACTTTTCCGTGGGATCATTTGTAGAGAAGAAAGTACAATCTTTAGACAATGCAGTGAGGGGAAAATCTCTTTTTTTTTTTAAACTGTGACTTACCCGACTTTTCCAAAAACTACTCATAAACTAATATTTGTTAGGAAGCTTTTGTTTCCAGTAAATCCAGTATCAAATATAAATCGTAACAGTTATTGAACACAAACCAAGTAAAAACTTGTTATTCACAGCTGAGATAAAAATATGCTCAGGGATCTTAGAATAAATGAGACCAAATGTGCTTACTTAGCAGTGGGTTGATATGTAAATTAGTGTTAAAATCCCTTTCATCACTTTAAAGGTACTAAAGAGATGGGACCTCCAGGTTTAAGATCCATTCCTGACAGAACCAAACAAAATTACTGGTCAGCCTTGACAACTCCCAAGTTAAAGAATGTTCCAGTGGAGATTAGAACCAGGGCCATCCACAATATAACCCAGCATGATACTCACAGAGCTAACAGTGTTCCCTGCAATGGGATATATTGTATCAAAGAAAAAATCAATGTACGCTCATAGCAGACGTAACCTCTTCCATGCTAAAATTATTCAAAAACAACTACATGTACATCTATGGTTAGATGCATGCCATGGACTCACCTCAGCATCAGCAGAGCTACGGAGAGCCTTACATCCAAAGTTGTTCAAATTGACGCAAAGCTCATACCTGCAGACGAAAGACAAGTCAAATGTAAACAAAGTAACTCTTTAATATAATATAATGCAGTATGGATATACAAAGGGAACATTCCAGTGTCCAGGCCTTACACTCACAAAAGATGTCCCTTTCACAAATAAACACGTATTTACCAGTTAAAAATCAACATCTTAACTCTTTAACCATGCAATGTAAAATCACATTTCCGCGCAATTTTTTTCTTGTTCATGCAAATAAGACCCGCCATATTATATGTTTGTAAAAATGCTTTGTTTTGAGTCAAACTGATTAACAAAGCGACACCCAGGCTTAGAATTTATTTATCTTTGACTTTCAGGTCAAATTAAAGGCTTGTTAGCTCATACTTTTTTATATTCGGTGCGTACCATAATACACATAACTTCGCTTTGGACGGTAAATAACTGAAACTTCACTACTACACTGTGTGTTCATATCATGACAGGGAAATGACACCACTGTTTAACAATTTACTGCTAAACCATGGGCACAGAAAATTTCGATCCTTCTGGTTACCTCCCTCCATCCTTACACTTTTCAGGAATTTTATAAAAGCTTTGACAAAGCCCATTACACAACTGCCAAATCTTTGACAACCAAAACCTGAAGTACATTTCACAGAATCCTTGCTAAATAAAAGCAAAGTCTGGGGGAAAAAATATGACAGAACCAAATATCTGCGTATATAACAAAAAAAACCCCAATAAATTTGCCTGAGATGAACCTAAATGTCAGCTACTCCAGAAGACACAAATTGGAACAGAAAATAATTAAGGTTTGCGTCCTTATGCCATAACAGTGCGTGTGTCCACATCACTTTGGTGCTTTGTAGTGAATCACATATATGGTCTGATGCCAGTAAGCAGAAAGTCTAGTGAATTACCTGGTTCTTTAGGGTGCAAAAAATTGGAAAAAATAATAATTTCGGGGAGATATTTGGTTGCGGTCTGAGATTGGTGCATTTACCTGTCATAGGCAGCTGTGATGTCCAACGAGATCTCAGGACTGGAGAAGTGAATGAGACAGTCTGGCACCATGGTCTTCAGTAGCATCACGGTCACATTGTGCACACGCAGACCCCCATACTGTAAACAAAAGGGGAAAAGTCCCCCCATAATTGAAACAACTAAACAAGACTATCAAAGTCACTGGAAAAAAAAACCTGCCACGCATGCTGATTAATCAAATGTTGGTTAGTATTTATAGTGTGAGACATACCATTGTAACCCCAACTTCCCCAATGACTGAAAAAAAAAAAAAAAGAATTCACAAAGAGAACAAATGAACTGAAAGAAAATCATAAAAATGTATAAATACATATCATTCGCAGAGATACATGGCTACAAAGCGAATAAGCAGTGAAAGTTTAACTTACTGGTTCCATACAGAACCCCATTCCACTCAAAGGGCAAAAAAGAAATAAAGAGAACAGCTGTGTGCTTAAGGTGTGGGATTTTTTTGCCCTGAAAATTACATTCTCTAAATCTAGTACATGTGAAAATGACGCTCTGCATCTAGTACATGAAAAATGGTAAATGATAAAATTATGTCTAGTATGTAATAAATGTGATAAACAATAAATCATTTAGAAAAAAAAACAAAAAAAAACGTGCAGAACTTACACTGCCGAGTAACATAATCTTGTTGACAATACGAGCAACAGACTGTCTCTGTCCATGGTCCTGGACATCCCTTTGTAAACCTCTGTGAGTCTCCTCATTGTGGCTCACGTCCACCTGTATCCTCATGTCCTCGATGCACAACACCACCGGCTTCCTGGAATGCCCAAAGCTAGACATCATACTGCTGTCTAAGCTTAGGCTCTTTTCAACATATTGTATGTTGACAAACAAGGGAGGGGGCAGGTGAAAGGGGGTGGGGTGTGTGGTGCGTGGTGCTCATGTTTTATCTAGTCTAAGCCTAAGGCACATTGCATATTCCTCCAAAAAAGAAGGGGATAGGGAGGATGGGGGTGGTGGTGGTGCATGTGTAGTGTTTACATTTACTTTAGTCTAGGCCTAAGACATTCTTTTAAACTCCTGATCATACAGTACGAGGAGTTGAGTACTTTGTCCGCTCAAATAAGTGGAGAAAAACTAACAGACTTATTGCATGTGTATTTTAAAGATGCCTTGGCAGTTGAACTGAAAAAGTGGAAGAAGAGCTGGAATGCCCAGGCCAGCTGAGAGTCTGTTAAAAAAAGCTATGAAGAAACTCATAAGAAGACTACCTTTAAAAAAAACACATTTTAGTAAGGAGAACAATCTGCTGAACCAAAAATGGATAAATAAATGTTAAAATCAGTACAAATGAGATCTGATAAATATGTAGTAGGCTACCCTACGATTAAGAGGATGAACACTGAAGACAATGAAAGGAGGAGGAGGAGGATGAGGAGGAGGAGGAGGAGATGAAGAAGAAGAAAAACAACAACTTTCCCCACCTGACATCTGGGTTGAAAAAGGAACTTGACAACCAAATCTTTTCCAGCTCCTGAAAAAGTGTCATGAGTAAAGTTCATGTAAAGCATATTCAGTCGAAATTGTCCAAGACAGCCACCCATTGTTGAGGAGATATTTAGTTGTCTAAGACAGGTGGACATCTTGTTCAGTAATATTATAGCATACAAAAACACAAGAGGGGAAATTGGAAGTGGTCATTTGCATTGATGATTGTCACTACATGTATTATAGTTCCTGTTCTTCTCCACCTACCAGTAGCGTATCTGTGTCCTGTTGTTTTTTAAGGAAGTTAAGACAAGAAGATAAAATATACTTTATCGATCATCCATAGAAAGAAAATAACATCTTAACATCTAGATAACATCTTAACATCCTGCTGATTATTATAGACAGATCAGTTAGAAGGTAGACAGCTTAGGTAATTTCCTTTTATACATTGTACTAACATTTGCGCGAGGAATGAACGGACCAATGAATGAATGAAAGAATGCATGAATGAATGAATGAATGAATGAATGAATGCATGCATGAACGAATGAATGAATGAAAGAATGAATGAATGAATGAATGAATGAATGAATGAATGAATGAAAGAATGAATGAACGAAAGAATAAATGAATGAATGAATGAAAGAACGAATGAATAAGTAAAATATACATACCATTTTTACAGACCACTGAGGGGTCATTAGAATAACATTTGCAAGTATAATGATCGAGTGCTATATAAATGGAATCTATTATTATTATGATCACACAAAATAATTTTGAGGTTTCATCAACATCCCACAACACACAAAGTCACACCAATATACATACTTATTTTACAAAACAAGCAATTGCTGGTCGATGCTTTGCAGCATCATGTTTTTGAGTAAGGATCATTGTGTCTTGCCCAATGACACACTGCAGTGGCCACCTCCTGAACGATGTCTCATCAATATGGCTTGGCATTATTTGTTTGTTCGTTTGTGTAAAGAGAAGCACATCGACACAACAATGGTCATTTAGTGCAGGGAAAAAGTCAGACAGATTGACAGAACCAACAGAGGGAAAGTAAAGACGTAGGACCTACCAGTAGCGCCCTCCAACCACTCACTTGGCATTAAATATAGCCTTGAGTTCACTAATCACTCCGAGTACTAGAAAGAACGCAGAAGCATGGAGGAAAAAAGAACAAGCTAACCACAAATGTATAATATTTCAATTTTAGACTTGATTTTGTTTTTCAGTGAATAGAAACACATCAACCGACAACTGCATTTTGCACTGGGAAAAAAAAACCCAACAAGATAGACAGACAGAAACTACAAAGGGATAGCAAAAAAGTAGGACCAACCAGGGGTACCCTGATTTTAAAAGATTTTTTAAATCAAGAACTTACCACATGCACAGAGACATGTCGATGCAGGGTCATCTGTACCTTGCCAAAGTTGAAAAAACCAACCTTGCCAAATCGCAGTGTGACATCCAGGTACCTCTTGAGCAGCCATTGTATGACATACGCTACCACCCTGTGGGGAAAAAAAAGTTAATGATAATGAATCATTATGTCTCACCATATTACAGTGTTATAGAGTGCTTGGAATCCTTTTATTTGTAGGTGACCACTTATCTTATGGGAAAGGCAAGGGATGAGTCTAGAGGTTTAGAGAATATATATGAGGAGGAGGGAGGGAGAGGAGACTGATGAGGGGGGTGAGGAGAGGGGGGTGAGGAGATGGGGGAGGGGGAAGGGGAAGAGAATGGTAAGGGCGTGAGTGTGAGAAGGGGAGAAGAGGGTAAGGGAGAAGAATGAAAAAAGGTGTGGGAAGAATAAGAGGGTAGGGGAGAGAGAGAAAAAAGTGAGAGAACGTCATGAGGGAGATAAAGGATAAAGATTCGTTTTGTTTGTCAGTGATAGGTAAGAGAAGCCTATTGACAAAATGGTACACATTTAGTGCAGTAAAAAACCCAAAACAAAACAAAACAGGCAGAAACAACCAAAGGGAAGTAAAATAATTAGGACCTGCAAAGGTACCCTTCAACCATCGGCGATGGGAAGGAGATGACAGACGAGGGAGCGGCAGGATAGCAAAGGATAGAAGAGAACTAATGCATAATCTTCTTTGACACAACTTGGCAGAAACTGCAAAACCAGATCCAAATGCTGAACTTGTTATCTATTAAATTAAGCAATGTAAACATCTAAGGTTGTATTTGGAGTTCAGGTGTTCGTGCTGTTTATT